ATGGCTCTTAATTTTTATAAGTTCCTAGGTATATTTTAGTATTTACCGATAAAAGCTGTCGCCATCTCTAGTAATGTATTCTCCTATGAAACCAAATTCCTTAGGGGCAAACATGAAAAATCCTCTAAGAAACGCTTAAATTGAGAGTTAGAAATAACTCGGCCCGAAGAATTTTTAATTAAACGTATTATAGCTCATTCGACGGGTCTCGACGAGCTCTACAAGAATAATCGAACTCCGAAACCGGTACTTTTCACCGTCGTACCAAAAAAGTCGAAAAAACGACAATTTGTGACAAAAATTTCGGTTTTAGGAAAATAACTTTTCTAGCCATAGGTTACCTCCGGCAAATTATACGTCATTCGACTTGTCTTCTCCTCCTCTACAACCTCCCACAAAAATCCCGTCCCTAACCCTAATCCCTAAAAAGTTATGCCACTTGTGGCAAAGTGTCGTTTTGGGATGTACCTTTTTCTAACTTTATACGTTTTTCAGGGTTTGAAGTTAGAACCCTGAAATTTTTTTTATTCGATAGACAACAAATTAAACGATCGTGCTACGCTTCCAGAATTTTTTTCACCATAAATGAAATGTCGAAAAATTTTGTCGAAAATTTCGACTTCGAATTTCGACTTTTTAAAAGTAGAAAAAAGGTGCGCTGGCAATTTTCCCATATGCCCGAGGCACTCAGAATTCGAATAAAAAAGACCCCAGGTCTCTAGCACTTCCCATTCCCGAGATTTTTGATTTCAAAGGATGAACCACCCTCCTTTTTTTCGAGACTCAAGTTGACCCACCCAGACTCAAGTGACACCCTCAAAAATTTTTTTAAAAAATTCGCCATGGCCGATAACCTATAAGTCCTCGAAATTGGCCCAATCCGGCCAACAACTGGAAAGTTAGAAAAATCACCGATGCCTAACTTCCCAGATCGGACGGGTAACTGCGGCAAAAAATAAAATTTTTTCCCGAAAAAATGCAAAAAACTGTGACTTTTTGCCGGGCCATAACTTGGTCCAACAAATTTTTCCGGACATGCGCGATAGCTCATTCGACGCAGAAGGTCGAGATCTATCGAAATATATATACCTCTTACCCCTAAAATCCGACTTCCAGATGTGAAAGTCGAAAAACCAACAATTTTCGACCGAAAATTTCGTTTTCGATGAATAACTTTTTTAGATGACCGGTCACCTCCGGCAAATTATACGTCATTCGACGCGTAATTACCAGCCCTACAACCTCCCGAAAAAAACTCCTTCCTAGGCCGACTCTTCAAAAAGTTATACCCTCTGTGGCAAAGTGTCGTTTTTGGATGTACCTTTTTCTGGCTTTATAGGTGCCTCGGGGTTTGAAGTTAGAACCCTGGGATTTTTTTTATTCGATAGCCAACGAATCAGTTCTCGGTACTGTGCTTCGAGAATTTTTTTTTACCCCAAACCTGAGGTCGAAAAATTTTTTCGAAAATTTTGACTTCGAATTTCGACTTTTTAAAAGTCGAAAAAAGGTGCGCTGGCAATTTTCCCATATGCCCCGGCCATACAGAATTCTAACAAAAAAGACCTCACCCCTCTAGCACTTCCCGTTCTTGAGATCTTTGATTCTTTATGGCGACCCGCACTTTCTAGGTCGAATTTCGACCTCTTAACGCCGGAATTTCCGACTTTTTATATTTTTTTTACCGACTAAATCATACTTCCGCTTTCGAATGGTACCTCTCCCGAGCAGGGCTGATCGAAATAAAAATATTTTTTATTTCGAATCGAAACGAAATAAAAAAATTCCTATTTCGTTTCGGAGCGAAACGAAACGAAATGAGCTTGTTTCGGACGAAACGAAACGAAATAAACGAAATAAAATAAAAATTAAAAAATATTTATTTTTCAGTTCATAGAAGCTTTTAATCGATATTTAAATCATAAATATGCACCTCAAGAGCTAGTTGCGTGACAAAAGCATACCATAAACAAAGTGGGCCCAACAAATCTGACGATATCCACCTTAATCCCCTCAAATCTACATATATCCGCCATAATCCTCCAATATCCTATTAAAATCCATCGATATATCCAAATTTACTTTGGAGTATACCACTTTAGATATCGATCAAGAGGGATATTAAGAGAGATCTTCTATATCCCTTGAGATATCATCTATATATTTTCTACATCCACCTCTCAAAACCAACGATATTTCCCCGATATTTCCTTAATCTCGGCAATACCACAATAACACCGTAATCTTACCAAATCGCCCGCAATATCACTAATCCCTCGAGATCTCTTTTAATCCTCCGCACAATGTAATAAAAATTTTAGTCGGCAGGCCAGGTAGTATTCTAAAGTGGTTAGACTATATCCCCATTAATCCATTTAAATTAACATATATCTGCCTTAATCCACTACGGAGTATACCACTAAGGTCCACTACGGAGTATACCACTATATCTAGAGGGATATTTTTTTAGCGCCGCAGGCAAAATTTTTTACATTTTGGAGCTCAAGAAGCCAAATTTCTTCCATTTTCAGCGCCGCAGGCGAAAATTTTTTAATTTTAAGCTGTTTATATGACAGAATCACTAAAAAAGTAATGATATTTTCCATAAATTCCCGTCATTAGGGGTGCACTTTCTCACTTTTTTTTGTTTCGTTTCGTCCGGAATTTTGGTTATTTCGTTTCGAAACGAAACGAAATAAATTTTTTTCTGTTTCGTTCCGAAACGAAACGAAATGGAAAAAAGGGCACGAAAGAGCGAAACGAAACGAAACGAAATTTCGATCAGCCCTGCTCCCGAGTCTCTACGACTTCTGTACGAGGCGGTGGGCAAAACGGCGAAAAATGAACCCCCCTCTTTTTTTTATTTTTAGCATCCAAAAAATGGATAGAAAAAATCTGAGGGTAAACGGAAATCTAATGTTGGAAATCTTTTAAATTCTGGTTTCGGTTTAGGCAAATTCTTTAGCATTCCATTTGGCCATTCTTTTCTTGTAAAATATAAAAATTGTTTTGAATTATCGGCAAAATAAGCGCTGAGTATAATTAAATTAGTTGAAGGCTGTTTTCCATCCAAAAAGTTTTCTGGGCCGATTTTGTCAGTATCGTTTGAATAAAGACATCCAAGATGGACATAATGTCCATAATTGTGAATCTACAAAAATGGAAATTTTTAGAAATTATTTAAAATCGTTTTAGATGTAGGGAATTCACAATAAAATCTTAAATACACCTCGAACATACCGTAAAAGCTGTATTAATGTCCCTCCCTCAAATAATTACCCCGCCTGTATTAGTTACCAGCAAGTGATCGAAACAATAATTACCCAGGGTAGTTAATACAGTTTTTACGGTAGATAGGCCCCATAGGCAACATACTACTATTTAATTTACACACAAGATACATTTTGGGCTTTGTGAGAATTAAATAGAGCACTCCGATCTAAGTTTCAGATTCGCTAATTAATTTTAATTAACGATAATAAATTTAAAAATAAAAAATTAATTAATTTTTTAACCCTTTTCTCGTAATAATAATTATTTTCATTCAATTTTGAATTAATTTGATCACAATTTAAAAGTTCAGAAGAAATGTTGAGTAATTTATTAGCTGCCATTTTCCCTACATTTTGGCTTGAAAAAGAAACTTTTTTAAATTTAAAACTTTAACTAAACTTACTCCAACAAACAAATTAAAGTTTTCTTTTTTATTTTTTCTGTTTTTGTTTCCTCAAAATCAGAATAAAGTTTAAATAATTGTTGGGAACATTGTTGGTTAATTAAATTATTATTTTTGGATAAATTAGAATTTATGTAAATTAATGGAAGGAAAAATAATTTTAAAATTATTTTGAACATTTTTTGAATTTTTTATGGAAGAAATTTTATTTTTATTTTGTTTCCATAACAACAAATAAATAAATAATTATTTTTCTTAATTTTATAGCAATGCAATAAAGAATGGAGGCAGGATTTTGAAAGGGAATTTGCAATGAATGTTTCTGATTTTTATGATTTCCCTTTTCATCCAAAAGTGCTTGATTATGTTTCTTTTTTGGCATATTGCCGATTAGCTGATAGACAAACACAATGTTTTATTGAAAGATGTAATGATCAAGTAAAGAGAGAAAATTTTTGCAATTTCTTAAGAATTTTTAAAAATTTATAGAACGCCGATCGTGTATTTTCTCCATCAAATTTTCTTTGTACATTTAAACGTCAACATTTCCTTAGAGCCCGTCCCTGTTTAGAAGCAAGTGAACCAATAGGATTTTTACGTTGTGATCGTAGCTGTCAACCTTCTAGTACGGATATTGAAGGAGTGGATAAGCAACGACATACAGAATTGGGGAAAGTATTTTCTGAGACAGAATTGGATGCTTACGAGAAAGAATTAGATAAACTCTGCTCTTTTCAAAAATGTTTTGCTAAATGTCATGAAGAAATTGTTGGTAAGAGAATTTTTGAATTTACATATAAAAATTAATTTTTATTTTACATTATTTATCAAAATTAATGTAAATAATATTTAAATAAAATTTATTTTGAATTTTCTTTTAAAAAATCAGAGCAAATTTGTACTCCAAGTCAAGCAACAATCGCTACAGAATTAATGCAAACTTATCTTAAATGGCATTCTGCTGATCTCCTTGATTGGCATTTATTAACTGGAAATGAAAGAATTTTGCCTCAAAGTTGCGCTTTATTAATTCAATTAGAACAAAAAGAAAGACAACCGAAAAGTTTAAAATTAAAAGATTTGGATGAAATAAATGATCCTATTTTAATGGCTATGATGGCTGCTGCTTAAATTAAATTTTAAGAGATTTTTAAATTATTAAAAATATTTTTAAATAAATAAATTATTTTTATTATTTTAATTTAAAAAACAAATAATAAATATTATTATGTTAACAAACAATAACAATGTCTTATAAAAGTTGTTATTTACATTTTTCAATTTCTTGGCTTTTGAAGGGTACAATTTCGAATTGTTCTGAATCCTATTAAAAGATAGGGAATTTGTAATCACATTTTAATACCTCATTAAAGCTCAATTGTTCACTTTGAGGAAACAAATTTCCATTTAACCATTCTGTAATTTCTTCACTATGATAGGGAACACTTACATGAGCCTAAATAAATAATTTAAAAGAATTCTTAATTTAAAATATTCCATACCTGTGCTTTTGGCGGGCTCCCTCTAAAAAGGCTGATGCACCCAGTGCCAAATGAAATAATACCGACGATGAACCAACGTCTTGTTCTACCATAGCTATCATCCGCAAATTGTGCAATAACACCTCCTCCACTGTCTCCCTTTTTAAAAATATTTTTTTGAAATTTAGGAAGATTTTAAAAAACATTGCAAAATCCTTCTGTGAAAGTCTCCATAGTACAAATGAGATCATAAATTCTAGTCAGGTCTAAATAATTTCCAAATTTCGATACTTGATTTAAGCATTGCTGATCTGTCCAAATTCCAGGTAATTTAAGCAAATGTAATTGAGAATGTGCGTATAGTAAACATCCTCCTCTTTTATTCTTTCCATGGCATTCTTGTGTACCAGCTAGTAAATTGAAAATAAAATTAATTTTAAAAAATAAATATAAAATTCGTATTTAATGGAACCTGAATTTATAAATTGATAAAAATAATACATATTTAAATTAATTTTTTGGTAATCTTCCGTTATGAACTCTATTTCTTCTCTTTCCCTCGTTGCTCTAAAAAGTTAGAAATGGTCAAAGGCATCCTCTTCAAGTCTCAATTAGTTTGAGGCCACTTTATGCTAGAACTAACATAAAGCAAGCACTTGGAATGATCTCATGCCCAAATGTTATTGTCCGTTTGTAATTCAGGGAAAGGAGACAGAAAAATCTTCAAAAATTTACGATCAGGTCCCCATCCATAAGCGAGCACAGGAAAAGCATTTGCTTGCCAATTTATATTTTTTGTATTCTCGTGTAGATTTAATAAACACTAAAATTTAATTTTAAATATTCAAATATTCTTTATTTATTAATTACAATATGATTAGCTATCTCCGCAGGAACATCCTCTTCAAGTTCAATAATTGCATAATCGTCTAAAAATTAGTTAATTCATTAAAAAAAATATTTTTAGCTACTAACAATGTAAACATTTTGCATCAAAATATTGTGAATATTTTGCTCTAAATGATAAATTTAAAAAAGGATTTATAATTATTTTTTAGCAAACTTTAAAATTCTAAATCGTCTTTGATGTGTTTTTGAGTTGCATTCTCCAAAGACAACATTGCTGTTTATTAGACAATTGGATCCAATATAAACTGTAATGTAATTATGAACATCTGTCTCAGGTATTGCACTTTGTTCATATGAACTTTTGAAGAAATGATTAAAAATAAAATGAATTTTGAGGATTTTCTCAAAGATTGTTTTTTTATTATTATGTTTAAAAATTTTTATCTTTGATTATTCTGAAATTAATTTTCTGATTTTTTAGATTTATTCAAATTTTTATTTTTGACACTTACTAACAACAGTGTGTATTATGGCATTCTACTTCATCTCTTTTCAATAACTTTCCATACTTAAAAAAGCAATGCGCAGCAGTTAGTACATGACGGCGCGAAATTAATGTTCCCGTGCAAGCATATCCATCTTTTTTTAAATTTAATTTAAAATATTTTCTGTTACCATATCCATCTAAATGTTTGTGTATAGCTACAGCCCATGGCAATTGACCCTCCTCGACTCCATGGCCACCCATTACTTTCCTGTGTATATGTTCGTCATGATGATAGTGTGTCTCATTTAAATGTTTAAAGGATGAATTTTTGTAATTGAAATGGTGATTATGTCTATGATGGTAATTGTGTGGACGAAATCTTTTGTATCTACTAATAAATTGGTTGTCCTTAAATTTTGGAAAATTTAAATAAAAATTAAATAATTAAAATTACATTATCAACGTGTAAAGGCAATCCACAACGATGAGAATCTTTTTTTTAATTTCTTTAATTATCAAAATAAATTTTAAAAATAACCATAATGTAATGGAGGAAGTCCTCCTTCCTCGAAATCTTCTAATTTAGTCCATGTATTCGATGCATAATTTAAGGGTTCAAATTCATTTGAAACACCTTGATTGTATAAATTAATTTGTTAATTAATATTTTAATTAAATTAAAATAAATTTAAAAATATACCTATTAAAATTATTAAGATATATTTTAACATAAATTGTGTAATTACTGACATATTCCAGTGAATATTAGTATAAAATATATTAATTTAATTAATTGAGATTATTAATGAATTTAAATAAAATTATTAAACGTTATTTATTTGAATATAAAAAATTATTTTATAGACAAATCATCTAATTTTACTTAATTTATTATATGAATCATTAAATATTCATATTTTAATAAATTGTTCACAAATTTCTAAAGTCTACTGAGAATTATTGAGTTATGTTTTTATTAGAGATAGATGAATTGAATATTAGATACAATAATTTCGAATACTTCGAATTCGAAATTTGATAATAGTTTTTCAGTAAAATTTGATAATTTTCGAATTCAAACTTGCGTTTTTTCCATATTTGTAATTATTTAATTGTTTATAATTTTTGCTATAAATTTGTTAAGTTTTATATCGATATTTATTTAATATTTCCAAAATTGGATTTGAAGAACTTGGCAAATAACAACACTTGTTGCCGTCTTTATTCTTTTTTGTCAGTATATTTGCATTCATTTTTTTCGGCAGTAAAAAATTCTCAAAAATTTTTTTTGCATTTCCGCATCTTTGCTTCTTTATTTTTTATTTTTTCTTTTATTTTACAAATAAATGTTTTTTAACGATGCTCACAAAAAATTGAATTTATTTTATCAATTTTTAGAAATGTTTTATTTAATATGTACTAGTTTCCCGTTGCATTATGAAAAATTTTTTGGAAGTTATCTCAGAATTTGTAAAGACCTGCAGCAAAACTTACTAGGTACTATTCATTCTGTATATTTTCATAGTAATTAAATACCTATAATAATTTGCTATATAACCATTTTCACCTCTTATTCTCCCCTTTCTTCATTTTTAATGCCAAATTTCTTGGCACATTTTTTGGTTATTTTGTTTGTTCTTTTAGTTGTTTTAAATCCCCTCAGGGCTTTTTTAAAGAAAAGTAAAAGGAAAGCTCTTCGTTCAATAGGAAATTATTGCTTTTGTGCCCATCCCAAAAAAAGGGAATTTGAATCGGAAAATAGGGGTGAAGGAGCAAACGTTTCTACGTGAAGAAATATTATCTGGAAAAAAATATTTAGATAAATGAGTTGCTTAAGTGTTATGTTCTCCAAATTCTTCCAATTTTTTAAACAATAAGAGAGTACGGCTACTTCGCTATTTTAGTTATTATTGTGTTATTTTTGCCCTTGCTTTTAAAAATAAATACAATATGTACATATATTATAGAAAAATATTAATTTAATACATACACTGTTAATTAAATATTTTAATTAACTATCATAACTTAGTTATGTAATTAACTCATTTGATAATTATAAATGTTCTACTCTTCCCATCTTTTTCCCATAATAATGTTAATCACCAATATTGCCTTATTGCTACCGCCTTCATCTTTATCCTCCTCATCTTCACTTTTTTGTCCCGAAATGGAATGCCCATCACAGATTTTTAAAGAAAAAGAGAAGAAAATTACTTCAAAATTTGAACAATTGTCTACTTCAAATTATAAAACTAACAAGAAAAAACTTGAAAATTTATTTCACTTTATTGCGTTAACACAGGCATTTTTTAAATATTTAAGATTAATATTTATCTACATAGTACATACAATGGTCACAGATAATAGCCAAGACTGTTTGGGATTAAATTATATGTTGAGCTTAACGTCCTAAATTTTATCAAAATTCAGTTTATAACCGAACATTTCCTTTTTTTACTTTTATCCTAGACATTAAAAAATAATTATAACCTCTCCTCTAAATTTTTTTACTTTAAAGGATTGTCAACTTATAATTTCCCGTCCAGATCAACTTTCAAAATTATCATCATTACAAATTAATTATAAATTTAACGAATGTAGTTCTAATAAAGTTAAATTAGCGTGGCATTTTGCTTCAAATACACCTTCCCTTTTACTCTTCCAAAAAAGATCAGACAATGAATTGTGTGTTCTTCCAGTTGAGACGCCCAATCCTTTGAATATTCAAGGAAATGAACTTTTTTGGTTTTTTATATTTTTAAATTACCTAATTTAAATTCTACAAAAATCAGTTATTCTATACGTTCATCCCTCATCCATCATGCAAAATGTTCTCGTCTGAATGGAATTACAATTGAAATAGAAAAATTATTTTCGGATGAATTATATTCTGATTTATTTTATTTAATGGAATATTCTTCTTCAAATAATCCTACTTTATTACATCAATTAAGGCTTTCATTAAATGGCCAATTAAGGATTACAGGGGAAATCTTTCCTGTTGCTTCACATATTAAATTTAATTATTTATCTCCAGATTTTCTGCTTTCAAATGATCCACAAACTAAAAGACTTTTTATTGTTCCGCAAAAGTTAAATGTAAATTCTATGGTGGAATGGACTTGTCCATTTGATTTGTTATACAGGCAGGGGATTATATTTTTGTAATATAATGTGGAATCTCGAATACTGTGACTCGAGATAATTATTAAGATTAATGGAACCCCAGCCCTTCATTTTAAAACCTACGGTCCAGTGCTATAGGTGTGTGCGGTCACTCTGGGTGAGTAGACTAAAACAAGTATTTGAGATTCAACTTTAAATTCCTCTGACCTAAACAGTCTGATATTTTTGAGATTATTTTGACAAACCCAAAATAATTAATTCTTATTTTAAGGCAAGAACAAGTCAAATTTCAACGCTTTCAGATTTTACCAAACAGAAGGTAAAATTCTAATTGAAATTTTAAATAATTAAAGTTTAAAATAAAGATCCTCATTACAACAACAATGGAAAATCAGCGGCTTTTCTGTCGATAGAAATTTAATTGCATTTACCGTTTCAAACTTTTCTTCTCATTATTATACAAAAATTCCCTCAACAGAATTATTTCTTGCTAAAATACCGTCTGATAATTCAAAAACAGTATCTATAGCAGAAACTCATTGTGCTCTTAATTTAATTCCTTTTGATATCAATTTTATGATAATTAGTGAAAAAACACTCGCAGAACTGACAACAAGAGGGCCTCTTCCACAAATGGGTTGTTTTAAATTTTTAAATTTAATATTTTTTATTTTTAGACGAAACATTAATTGAGAAACTCAATAGAAACAAATATAGACATGCTACAAAACTCGATGAAAAACTACTAAATCAAAGAAAACAGCAAAAAACAACAACAAAAACATTTATTGCCATAACAAAATTTTTAAATAAAATAACTTCAAATCCAACAATTGCTTCAACAACATTTTTTTTTTTTTTTTTCTTTATCGAACACAAATAAATGAATGTGAAACAATAAAATAAAACTCCTGGATCCACAAGGATCACTTATGGAGAGGTAACTTACAATAAAAATCAAATACAATTTTACAGTTAAAATGTTAAATTAGAAAAAAAAAGTATATATATAAATGGACTCCACAAGAAAAAAAAATGTAAAAAATAAATAAAAGCGAATATCAAAAAAAATATATATGTAGGTATAATTTAAGTAAAAAAAAATATTTGTACCAAAATTAATTTTATTTAAAAGGTAAGTATGTTAAAAAGAAAGTGAACATTTAGGCAAGGATTTTGTTATTTTACACTCCATTAATTCGTTACTCATAAATTAGGGTCTTCTGTGATTAATATATTGTCTATAAATTTTTTAAATTGAGGAATAGTACTAATTTTTTCAATTTCATTTTTTGGAAGTTTATTCCATCTATCTATGACTCTATGTGAAAAGAAGTGATTATTCTTAGTTTGTTTTTTAAATATTTGATATCTATGCAAGCGCAGATTATTTCTATTTGGTTTAGAGAACATTTGTTCTGGTTTTATTTTATAGAAACCATTTATTATTTTGAAGGTTGTCATAAGATCTGTTCTTATGCGACGGATTTTAGTTGGAGGGAGTTTACATCTTTTTAGTCTTTCGGTATATCCTATTTTTTGGTATTTGAATTTATATCTTAAAATTTTCCTAGTAAAGCTTCGTTGAGGTCTTTCTAATTGGCTATTAAGATATTCTAGTTTAGGGCTAAAACTTTCAGTGGAATACTCCATAATTGGCCTTACGTATGTTTTAAATGCCTTTACATATGTATCTATTGGTAATGTTTTAGGTAATATTCTTAGAATATTATTTAGTCTTATAAATGAGGATTTAGTGATTTTTGCTACATGTTGGTCAAATTTAAGTTTGTTATCTATGTATACTCCTAAATCTCTTATGTTATTAACTTCTTCGATTTTGTCACCGTTAATCTCATAGCTATACTTAATTTTGTTGTATATTTTTAAAACCTTAACCTTTGAGATAGAGAAGTCCAGTCTATTATTTTTTGCCCATATATATGCATTGTTTATAGCTCCTTGGAGCTCTATACAATCTTTTTCTGTATTAATTTCCGAATAGAGCTTAAAGTCATCTGCATATAATTTTACTTTTATGTTTTTTGGGATATGTTTGGGTAGGTCATTTATATATATCAGGAACAGCAATGGTCCTAATACAGTTCCTTGGGGAACTCCTGTTTTTGGCAGAAATGGTTCAGAGAAATGATCATCTATTTTTACAATATGGGATCGATTAGAGAGAAAATTTGCTATCCATCTAATTGTTAAGCTATCTATTTTTATTTCTTGTAATTTTCTTATAAGTATTTGGTGATCTACCTTATCAAAGGCTTTCTCAAAGTCAAAATATATAACGTCCGTACCTATCTTCCTATCAAGTGAATTATACCAATCTTGCATAGATGATAAAATTTGAAGTGTACAAGAGCTTTTAGGTAGAAATCCAAATTGCTCTTCAGCAATTAATTTATGTTTATATAGGTGTTCTAAGATGTTATTTGCTATTATGCGCTCAAAAACTCTACAAGTCGGGGATGTTAATGCGATTGGTCTGTAATTTTTTGGGTCGTTTACTGAACCCTTCTTTTTAAATATCGGTAGAATGTGAGCTGTTTTCCATAATTCAGGGACTATTCCTGTTTTGAATGTATTTTCATATAAAATAGAGAGAGGAAGAGCTAAGGGTGTAGCACATTTTTTTAGAAAATATTGATTGATATTCTCAGGACTATGGGATAATTTATTTGGGAGTTTTTTTAGTAGTTTTTCTATTATATAAGGTTCAAAAATGATTTCTTTCTGATATCCATCCTTAGCTTCGAAGCTTGCTTGTATATTGTTTTTACCTCCGCTAACTATTTCTTCAAAAATATTTCTAAATTTATTTGCTTTGTCTGTGTCTAATATTATGGGATCGCCTTCCTCAGATTCGTTAAGTTGAGGTATACCGGAGAATTTATATCGATTTCTCTTCATTAATTTATGTATTTCCCCTATATGACCAGATCCTATTTTTTTGGATAAATAATTATTTTTATATTTTTCTATTTGTAATTTACATTTAATTTCAAGACTCTTATAATTATTTTTACTAATTTCCCCTAATTTTAGCTTTTTCCAAGCATCAGCTTTTTGTTTGATTATTTCCCTAATTTCTTTAGGATATTTCATAGGTGTTTTTTCACCCAATTTTTTTAATGGGATGAATTTTTGAATTACTTGGGTTATTATGGAATTTAGTATTTCGGCAATTTCAGAGGGATTCTTGTCCTTAAATATATTGTACCAATCATATTGGGCTAAATACCAATTAATTGTTTTATATTTTCCTTTCTTAAATAATAGTACTTTTCTTTTTTCTTTAGAGTTTACTTTTTCGATCGGAAAAGTTACTTCAAATACTATCGTTTTGTGGTCACTCAAAACTAAATCATCTATAATTTTGTATTTTTCTATTAATTGCTTATTTTGTAGGATAAGGTCTAGTGTGTGGGAATTGTTAAACATGGTTGGTTCTCTTATTATCTGATTTAAATTTAGCTTATTTAAGGTATTGTAGAAATATAAATTCTGATTTTCTTTCGGAAGTGTAAACTCTTGCCAATTTATTTTCGGAAAGTTTAAATCCCCTAAAATAATAGTTGAGAGATCATTTTTGTATTTTTTCTTTATTAATCCCCAAAAATTTTTATCATCGACTAATTTTGTATTTGGAGGCCTATATATTAAATGGAATCTAATTCTCTTAAATTCTGAGTAAATATCGAAGGTAAGGAGTTCATGATTGTATGCGGATATTGAAAGTGTCGGAATATTAATAATTTTTATTTCCTTTTTATAAACTACGCCTACGCCCCCGCCTCTTTTTTTTAATCTATCTACTCTCAAAAAGTCGTAACTATCAGAAGTGAGAAGGGATTCATTCGATGTATTATCAGTTAGCCATGTCTCACTTAAAAAAGCTACATGAATATTATTTTTAATTAAATAATTTTCTAATTCAAATAATTTATTTGCGGTTTTTTCTGAATTAATGGAGCGTATATTTAATAGTAAGCAATTTAATTTTTCAAATTTTTTCTTATTTTTCTGATTGATTATCTGTGGGGTCCCTATATCCTAGTCCATGTTCACTTGCTTTTTATAAAAAATTTTAAGATTACGATAACTAGCCGTGCCATTTCCATGCTTCTCGTTAATTTCTTTGACTTGCTGTTTAAGATAATTTTGAAGTTGTAGTTCCGGTGGAGTTAGGTCCCTTCTTGCGAAAGGGCTATGTCCACCCAATTTCGGTTGATGTATTGTTCTATAGAGACTGATAAACGAGTGTGCAGCTGATGGGGTTGAAAATTTTACTTTAATAATGCGGTGGTAGTTGTTCTGTTTTTTGATGCCATGCCTTTTTACTTCGAAATTTTTACTTCGAAATACTTTTTACTTCGAAATACTTCGAATTCGAAATTTGATAATAGTTTTTCAGTAAAATTTGATAATTTTCGAATTCAAACTTGCGTTTTTTCCATATTTGTAATTATTTAATTGTTTATAATTTTTGCTATAAATTTGTTAAGTTTTATATCGATATTTATTTAATATTTCCAAAATTGGATTTGAAGAACTTGGCAAATAACAACACTTGTTGCCGTCTTTATTCTTTTTTGTCAGTATATTTGCATTCATTTTTTTCGGCAGTAAAAAATTCTCAAAAATTTTTTTTGCATTTCCGCATCTTTGCTTCTTTATTTTTTATTTTTTCTTTTATTTTACAAATAAATGTTTTTTAACGATGCTCACAAAAAATTGAATTTATTTTATCAATTTTTAGAAATGTTTTATTTAATATGTACTAGTTTCCCGTTGCATTATGAAAAATTTTTTGGAAGTTATCTCAGAATTTGTAAAGACCTGCAGCAAAACTTACTAGGTACTATTCATTCTGTATATTTTCATAGTAATTAAATACCTATAATAATTTGCTATATAACCATTTTCACCTCTTATTCTCCCCTTTCTTCATTTTTAATGCCAAATTTCTTGGCACATTTTTTGGTTATTTTGTTTGTTCTTTTAGTTGTTTTAAATCCCCTCAGGGCTTTTTTAAAGAAAAGTAAAAGGAAAGCTCTTCGTTCAATAGGAAATTATTGCTTTTGTGCCCATCCCAAAAAAAGGGAATTTGAATCGGAAAATAGGGGTGAAGGAGCAAACGTTTCTACGTGAAGAAATATTATCTGGAAAAAAATATTTAGATAAATGAGTTGCTTAAGTGTTATGTTCTCCAAATTCTTCCAATTTTTTAAACAATAAGAGAGTACGGCTACTTCGCTATTTTAGTTATTATTGTGTTATTTTTGCCCTTGCTTTTAAAAATAAATACAATATGTACATATATTATAGAAAAATATTAATTTAATACATACACTGTTAATTAAATATTTTAATTAACTATCATAACTTAGTTATGTAATTAACTCATTTGATAATTATAAATGTTCTACTCTTCCCATCTTTTTCCCATAATAATGTTAATCACCAATATTGCCTTATTGCTACCGCCTTCATCTTTATCCTCCTCATCTTCACTTTTTTGTCCCGAAATGGAATGCCCATCACAGATTTTTAAAGAAAAAGAGAAGAAAATTACTTCAAAATTTGAACAATTGTCTACTTCAAATTATAAAACTAACAAGAAAAAACTTGAAAATTTATTTCACTTTATTGCGTTAACACAGGCATTTTTTAAATATTTAAGATTAATATTTATCTACATAGTACATACAATGGTCACAGATAATAGCCAAGACTGTTTGGGATTAAATTATATGTTGAGCTTAACGTCCTAAATTTTATCAAAATTCAGTTTATAACCGAACATTTCCTTTTTTTACTTTTATCCTAGACATTAAAAAATAATTATAACCTCTCCTCTAAATTTTTTTACTTTAAAGGATTGTCAACTTATAATTTCCCGTCCAGATCAACTTTCAAAATTATCATCATTACAAATTAATTATAAATTTAACGAATGTAGTTCTAATAAAGTTAAATTAGCGTGGCATTTTGCTTCAAATACACCTTCCCTTTTACTCTTCCAAAAAAGATCAGACAATGAATTGTGTGTTCTTCCAGTTGAGACGCCCAATCCTTTGAATATTCAAGGAAATGAACTTTTTTGGTTTTTTATATTTTTAAATTACCTAATTTAAATTCTACAAAAATCAGTTATTCTATACGTTCATCCCTCATCCATCATGCAAAATGTTCTCGTCTGAATGGAATTACAATTGAAATAGAAAAATTATTTTCGGATGAATTATATTCTGATTTATTTTATTTAATGGAATATTCTTCTTCAAATAATCCTACTTTATTACATCAATTAAGGCTTTCATTAAATGGCCAATTAAGGATTACAGGGGAAATCTTTCCTGTTGCTTCACATATTAAATTTAATTATTTATCTCCAGATTTTCTGCTTTCAAATGATCCACAAACTAAAAGACTTTTTATTGTTCCGCAAAAGTTAAATGTAAATTCTATGGTGGAATGGACTTGTCCATTTGATTTGTTATACAGGCAGGGGATTATATTTTTGTAATATAATGTGGAATCTCGAATACTGTGACTCGAGATAATTATTAAGATTAATGGAACCCCAGCCCTTCATTTTAAAACCTACGGTCCAGTGCTATAGGTGTGTGCGGTCACTCTGGGTGAGTAGACTAAAACAAGTATTTGAGATTCAACTTTAAATTCCTCTGACCTAAACAGTCTGATATTTTTGAGATTATTTTGACAAACCCAAAATAATTAATTCTTATTTTAAGGCAAGAACAAGTCAAATTTCAACGCTTTCAGATTTTACCAAACAGAAGGTAAAATTCTAATTGAAATTTTAAATAATTAAAGTTTAAAATAAAGATCCTCATTACAACAACAATGGAAAATCAGCGGCTTTTCTGTCGATAGAAATTTAATTGCATTTACCGTTTCAAACTTTTCTTCTCATTATTATACAAAAATTCCCTCAACAGAATTATTTCTTGCTAAAATACCGTCTGATAATTCAAAAACAGTATCTATAGCAGAAACTCATTGTGCTCTTAATTTAATTCCTTTTGATATCAATTTTATGATAATTAGTGAAAAAACACTCGCAGAACTGACAACAAGAGGGCCTCTTCCACAAATGGGTTGTTTTAAATTTTTAAATTTAATATTTTTTATTTTTAGACGAAACATTAATTGAGAAACTCAATAGAAACAAATATAGACATGCTACAAAACTCGATGAAAAACTACTAAATCAAAGAAAACAGCAAAAAACAACAACAAAAACATTTATTGCCATAACAAAATTTTTAAATAAAATAACTTCAAATCCAACAATTGCTTCAACAACATTTCAAACAACAATTAAAACAACAATTGAAAAACAGACAAAAACAACAATAAAAACACCAAACATAGAAAAACAAACAAATTTTGGAGTTAAAACAACGCAACAAACACCAAAACAAATATCAAAACAAATATCAAAACAACCAACAAAACCAGAACAAAATAAAAACATTGAGGTTAAAACACCAAAACAAACAACAACAGAAACATCAGAACAAACTCAACGAACGAAAACAAATTTTAAGTCTGAAACAGAAAATTCTGGTTCTCCGATTCATTCAATTCCAATTCGTATAAAACCGGAGATAGAAGAGGAGGGAGAACAATTGGGAGATTATATTTATGTTGAGGATCCGTTAATGGAAGAACTTGTAATTAATTAATTAATTTTGATTAAAATATTATTTTTAAATTAAATAGCCATTTGATGAGGAGAATGATTTACAGAATGATGAGGAAGAACATAATCTAGTCCCGCTTCCCGGGGAGGAAGTGGAGGAAGTAAGAGAGGAAGGAGAAATTCAAAACCAAACAGAAAGTCAAAGTTTAAATTCGGCAATTTTTGGAAAAGAAATCGAAAGATGGATATTAATAGTTTTTACATTATTAATAATTTTGAGATATTACTAAAATAAAAGTTAGAGTAACTCATTGTTTAGAAACTGTTTTATGTATATTAATTTCTAGATCAAGCAAAAGACCTGCAACCGTTATAACAAAAGTTTTCTATCGTTAATTTTAAGTGTTGATTTCAAGTTTATTTTTTTAGATTAACAAAAATAATTTCTTGTATTTAACGTATAATTGATGGCTTAAAGAATGATTGAGGGCTTATTTTTGAAAGAAAATCATAAACATTATTTCAACTAAAATATTACACACACATAGCCTTCAATTAAATTAAATAATTTAAACAGTAAATTCAAAACATCCATCAAGTAAAGATCGCCTTTCATCTGTACTTCCAGACTGATGACTTCCTTTACGTTTATTTTGTATATCACCAGGAATTAGTGTTGTAGTGGATTTGTGAATTGATGGAGTTGGTATTGGAAGAGAAGATGGTGAAGGTGGAGGTAGAATTTTTGGTAATTGAAGTTTTAAAGAATCTGCTCTACTGGGAATGTTTGCTTGTTGTTGTGTTCTGAAAAAATAGAAAATAATTATTAAAAATCTGAGAGAGAGAGAGAGAGAGAGAGAGAGAGAGAGAGAGAGCCCAATCATGATGATTTATGTAAAATTATACTATAAATACCCTTGGATTTATCCCCATTCAACCAACTCAACAGAGGCTCCGTTCATCTACTCATCTGCTACTCGCCTACTCACGCTCATTCGTCGACCATGGCTACTCCGATTGCTGTGGATCCTGACTCTGTTGTTGTGGAGGCAAACGGCGGGACTTCACCAATCGTGCTGGAGAATGCAAGTCCTCATGTAAGTCCTCAAGTCCTCCTCCTCCATCCTTTACATCGTTTAATCTTTCTTTTTTATTTAGAATCGCTACTGCTACAAGGTCAAGTCGACGAACAATGAGCACTACCGTGTCAGCTCTGTCTACGGATTCATTGAACCTCTGGGCTCTGTGAAGATCGACGTGAACCGATTGGTGAGGAGTTTTGGATTTTAAACGTTAAATAACTCGACTGATCTTCTTTTATTTTTTCTAGCCTGGCCCGCCGAAAAGTGATGATCGTCTGGAGATTCTGTTCCAGCCTGTCGAAGCTAGTCAAACTGATCCGAAAGGACCATTCGCCAATGGAGCATCGGAGTTCAAGCTGGATGTGAAGCTGTGCGCGGAATGAAGAGGGCTTTCCTTGAGACGGAGACGATAATAAAAGCTGTGATATTCCCCTCGATAGAAAGTATATGTATGCCTCATAAATGTATATATGCCCCCTAAATGTCTTTGTATTAGACCCTCAATTCTTAGCATTCACTTTGTTGTATAATATATGGTTCTCTTTACTCACCCATTGTTGTTGTATATTTTTTGGTTCAATAAATTTGTAAATTTTGTTTTCATTGTTTTGATAGGGTTAAATACTAATAGGTATATGAGTTAAATTTCTGTTTGAGTATTGGTACAATCCAAACATTTTTATGTTTGATCGTGCAAGTCCCCACGTAAAGAAATTTCACCCAGGCTTCGTGTTTCTTAATCCCGATGGGTAAAAACCACTCCCCGTGAAGGGCTTTGCTTGAGATGGAGATTCTTGTATCTTCCATAAAGTTATCGTAAATCTTTTACCTTCAAAAAGATAAATAAACTAACTGGCTTGTTGTGGCATTTTGTTGTGCAGGTAAAGGACGTAAAGCAATTGGTGTTAACTGGTTTTGCTTTTGTAAACGTGTTTTTCTTCCAATTTCAATAGGCGTTAAAGGAGGATTATTACTATTTTCTTCATCCCTTATTGTATTATTGTATTTAATTAATTCATTAGTATCGCTTTCCAATAAACGTTCTTTTGTTAAATGTGAAATAATTCCACAACCAAAACCATCACCTAACGAGAAAAAAAATTTTTTTTAAATGAACTAAAAAATAAAAAATAAGGTTAGAGAGTAATGAGTACTTTTTTTGAGTCATTAAGTCTATAATATACTTACCTAAAACATTAACACTTGTCCGTATTCTATCCAGCAACCAATCGACATAAAAAATAATATAATAATTAAAATATTTTTTTTATTTTAAAGACTCACTGTAAGTAATAAACTTAAATCTTTATGGGGTAGTCCAACCTAGAAATAATCAAAAATTTTCATTTCTTATAAAACATACAGTTGTCAAAACAAGTGTTAAAACATCCAAACCTTCAAAATAAACAAAAATTAAATAAATTATTTTAAACTTTTCACCAGCTGGAACAGAGCCTGAACCTATAGAAGCTACTGTAGTTGTTATACTTAATTATTTTTGTGAAAAATATTTTTTTTATTTCTGACCTTATAGTTAAAATCTCTAAAGCAGTAAGCTTGACATTATGTAGTTGTGCAATAAATATAACCTTTTTTTAATAAAATTTATTTTAAAAATATTTTTAATTAAATAATTAACTGCAACAGCTTCATATAATGCTGTTCCATCCTTTAAAAAATATTTTTAAAAAATTTAAAAAAATATAATTTAATTATTGCCATAGTTATTGTAGCACCCAAAGGAAGTACAAAACGTGTAACACGCCTATCAATTTTTAAATTTTGTTCTAATGCTCGAAAGGTGACTGGAAGTGTGGCACCACTGGGAAAATTATTATTTTTTAATTATTTTTAATTTTAAAAGACCTCGAAGCAGTCCCAAAAGCTGTAGCTATTGCTTGAAGCTTTTTAAAAATATTTAAATTTATTTTTAATTTAAATAACCATTCCAGTCATAAAATCAAAAGGTGAATGTCTCGTAATTATATAATAAAGTAATGGAAGTGTTAATAATGAATGTATCATTAAACCACAAATTACAGTTACCTTTAAATAAAAAAATGTTCTTTTAAAGAATTTATTATTTTATTTTTAACATAAATTTATTTTTTAACTCACTTACAACGTACATAGCCAATGCCTAAAATTTTATTCTTAATTAATGAATATTTTAAAAAAGAGACACCTGAGCTGTAGCAGTAAGGTCATCTATATCAACAATATTTTTGCAAACAAGTGAGAGAATACCTATTGGATAACACCTTTTGGTTTGAAATAATTTTAATTTTGTAGGAAATTTTAAATTAATTTATTACCACATTAAAGCGCTAATCCAACGCATAATAACCTGAATAGGTAAATTTTTAAAAATTTTAAAATTTTTTCTCCCTTATTAACACGGAAATATGGGGAATAATATTTTTCATATTTTTAGCTCTTAATTCTTTTTTTTAAATTAAGTTCCTAATAATTAAAATGAACCCAAATAATTAAAATGAGCTCATTCAATTTTCTCAATTTTTTGCACTAAATATGTGCTGGTTTAAAATTTATTTTTCCGGCTAATTTATGCGACTTAGTTGCTCTATCGGAAATCTATTTTTTGCATCTGTATGTACATCACAAATTTCTCGGATTTTAATAAAATTAAATGAATATATATGTATGTATGTATTTATTCTCAATTTAATATTTTAATTTACAAAAACTAACAGCATCCAAAACAATAAAGAAATTAATCATTAGCCTCGCCTGATCACCCAAAACTGACAAAATAACACCAAATCCAGTACAAAAAACTAATAGGCCAAGAACATTCACTTCGTTTGTATATTCCAAAATCTGTCTTTTTTTAAAAATTAAATTTATTTTTTTTATTTAAAATTTTTTAACAGGTTTTAGAGGTATTTTTGCTGTTGTTGTATTTGTTGAATTAAATAAAGGTTTGGAAGGGGGAACTCTTGGGGGTTTGACTGGAACATAATTTGTTTGGACTTGTTGAAATGTTGCCTTTAATAAATTATGAATAAATTATTAAATATATGTACATATTTTTAAAATACTTGAACAATATTTTCTGGGAACATATTTCTAATTTGATCCAAAAATGTATCAAGTGGCGATAAAGCTCTTAAAATATAATAAAGAATATTTAAATTAATAAAAAATATTTTTTTACTTTATTAGTAAATGATTCAAGCTTATTTAGACATTCCTCTTTTATTTTTATTTTTTATCATGTGTACAATTACAAATTAAATTTTTAATAAGTTTTCCATATTTTTAGAATCCGTTTTTTTAATTTTCAAAACTTTTAAAAGTTTATAGACTTCAATACACACTCTACTTTTTTTACTTTTTCCTATGTATTTAAAATATTTTTAATTTATTTAAACAAACGTGTCATCTAACGTCCCCTCTCCCAATTCGTGTATAAGTTGAGGATCACCGGGATGAATGCAAGAAACAAGCAAAATTCCTGTCTTTGAATAAAATTTTAAAAATAATTTTTTTATTCAAAAAAACATACAAAAGTTGAAAGAAATGTTGTTGTCATATAATAGGCTATAAAATATATATTTTAGAAAATTATTCTAAATTTCAACAAACCAACAGTTAATAACCCCATTCTGCCAGCCACTGAAGGGCGTGTCTGTGCTAATGCAGAAATTACTGATGAAATTGTTAATGGAAGAATCTTTTAATTTTTAAATTAATTTTTAAATTAAAATATATTAACCATCATTTCAACAATTTGCATAAATATTTCGCCTGGAAATCCAATCAAAGAAATTGCATCATTACTAAAATAAATTTTGGTAAGTACTATTAAATATTTTAAAATATTTTAAAATATTTTAAAATTTTTATAGAGAGTGATTTGAAGCTAGTGATGATGTGATAAAGAATGATTTAAATTTGTGTGTATATTTCAAAATCTGGATTGACGATAAAAGTTTCTTTTACAAGAAAAAGACATTCTGTATCAGAACGTAAAAGTATTTATGAATTGGAAAATATTTTAATTAAAAATTTAAGTAACACGATTTTATTTTTAAATTAAAATATTTTTTTAATTCTTAAAAAGTTTTCTATAAACAAAAAAAAAATAATTTATTTTTAACCTTGGATCTAATTGTCGTATTATAAATCCAAGAACAACGCCAATCACATAAAATTAAAATATATTTTTTTAATATTTGAAAATTGAAAATATTTTTTTTAATTTTAAATTTAAATATTTATTTAAAAATATATTTATTTATTTACCACAGATTCAACAGTAACTACCAAAAGTAATTCCTTTTTCATTTTAATTTGAATGGCAAAATTAAAAACTTTCTTTTCATTCTAATAATTAAATTTATTCATAAAAATTTTCTGTAAAAAATTAAATTTTTTATGAAAAATTACTTCAATTTTTTAAATAAAAATAATATTAAGTATTTAAAAGATTATCAGTTAACAAACAAAAAAAGGGAAGAAAAAAAGGGAATGAGGGAAAAAAGAAAAGGACTGAATACTTCTTTTCTACCTAATAAAACATTTAAAACAACCGGCGGAAATTGAGCGGCTGCCTAATTTTTGGAAAGTTGATAATATATTTAGGAAGCGAAAAATGTTTTTATGATAATAACAATCGATTATATACGAGAGATTAAATAAAAGTAATTTTTTAGTATTTTTAAGAGAAAGGAAAAATAGAAAAAACTTTTTTAAAAATGTTCAGAATATTATTTAAATTATTTAAATATTATTATACGTCACAAAATATTTTACATTTTTTGATATAAACAAAAGAGGTAGACATTAGATAAAGAGTTTTTAAAAATATTCATTCGAGTAGTACTTTTGTTTTTGGAGAGATCCTTAACTTTCAACTCTATAATTTACTCTCTAATAGAGTCGTCGGTTCTGGACCAAACTGAACCGAAGAACCGATGATTTTTCGTTTCAGCTCTTCGGTTCGGTTTCAGATATCCGAAGAATCAGCCCTACTCTCTACTGATAATTATTGCCAAGTAATTTGAGTTAATGATCATTAACGTATTGTCATATTATTATTTTATAAGAAGGTTAACTATTTACGTATAAATCTTCAGTATTTTATTTTATTCATCTTACAATAAAATTTAATTTTTTAATTAAAAAGAATTTTTATTCAAAGTTGGGAAAATATTTTTTTCAATTCTTTTCAATGAATACAGTCACGTTCTTCCCCCTTAAACTTTCCTTCTAATTCAATTGTACCAGCGTCATAATATTTATTTGGGTTTTTGCCTTCTGTAATATATTTGTCTGGAATCTAAAAATAAATTCTCTAATTTTATTTTTCTAAAAGTAAACTTTCTCTACAAATATAAATTACCATTATAGAAATTTTTCTTTGGCAAGGAGTCGTTCCGTCATTACAATCGTGATATACATTAAATTTTGGGTCAATATCAGTAATTTCGTGTGTATGCCCCTCCAATTTGAAATAACCTTTTTTGTCTGTATATCCTTTTGCCTAATTAAATATTTAATTTCAAAATAAAATTCGAAAATAAATAACCAGTAAATCGTCGGGATCACCTCTATCTTCGTCATAAAGTTTGACTAAAACATTTGCAGCAGGTTTGCCTTGACAGGTTAAATAGCCTTCTACCCCTGAACTTTGTAAACGTCCTATACTGATTCCAAAGAGTGGAGAGGGATTCGGTGCTGGATTAGAGTTTATTTTAGTTAAGAAAGTTAAAATTAAAATTAAAGAAAATGAAAAGTAGAAAGACATTTTTGCTAGAAAAAATTAATTTTTTTAATAAACAGCGAGCACAATAACAAAAAAAATTAAACAATTAAGTAATTTTGTTTAATATTTGAGGATATACTTAAAGTTAAAACAAAAACACATCATGGTTAATATCGAAACTGATGGTTAGCTGGGAATGAGTCAACGTTTTATATTAACAGGATTTATGAATGGGACCCATTCTTGATCACAGGTCAAAATCCGGTTCAAAAATGGTTAATTTTGGTCCCGTTTAAGCATTTGTTGTGCAGAAGTTAACTAGTGATATTTTTAATTTTGCAGCAAATCATAGGGTATCTCAGTCATGGTTAATACTTAATTAATTACATTAATCATATAAATATTTTGATGGCATTAGAAATTATTTTATTAAAAGAAAGCTCATTGGGAGTCCGCAAATGTCAGTCCTTAACATGTATCAGCCCAATAATTCCTTTTCAATTTTACTATTAAATAAAAATTAAAACTTTTAAGTGTATACTTTAAAATAAAATACATAAAACACTTTAAATATTTTTTCAAAATAAAATTTGAACAAAAATATTATCAATCATTCTTTTATTTAAAGAAATTTTTAGGCGGAAAACAATAATAAAAACACACCAAATTGCGTTTGAAATTTGTCAAAACTTTTTAAATTAAAACTGATTATTCATTGAACAATAGAAAAGAATGAATCATTAAAATTATTTTGAAATTAAAATTAAAGAAATTGTCGTCTTTGTTGGCCATTTTGGTTCATTCTGATTAATGTCTCAAATAATTTATCGTTTAATTTATCAATCTCACTCAACTTTTGCTGACATAGAAAACTTTATTTTGCTTTTTTTTCGAAAATAAATTTTATTTGTAAAACAAAAACTAAAAAATAACTCTTTTATTTCTTGAAAACAAACTGTACAATATTTGGTTTAATTATAATTATGAACAATCTTACTAATAATTTGCAAAATTTAGGGGAAGAGAAATAAATAACCCAACAAAGAATAACTTTTATTTTTTAAATTTGGAACTGGAAGTTTACTGCTTCGACGAGGGCTCTTTCCTTTTTTCTCTTTCGATGCCGTTCCAGTACTTCGTTCCTATCTCCCTTTACTCTGTTTTGAATCTTCGCCTTTTTCCTTCATGTCCCTCACTTCCACTGGCCCTACCAAGTAGATTGGAACTGGCACTGGAGCAACTAAACGACTTTAATCAAGAAAAAGCTCTATCACTTCGATACAAAAGGCTTGCACTTTTTATGATTTTACGAGGAAAGAGCATGTAATGAATTAAGAGAAAAATTTTCTCTCATTTTATTGTTTGTTTGAAAACTCAATTTTGTTTCCCTATGTATTTTATTTTTAAACACATCAATACAACAAATTTATTCTGTGATTACTTTTGATACAATACAAGTACAAATACAATAATATATACAACGCACAAATAATCGGTTATAATTAATCATAGAGGAAAGGCTTATGACAATCTAAACGATCTACACAAAGTTTAGGGGAAAGAAATACAAATTTTACAAATTAGAGGCAAAGCAATTGGTGGAAATAATTATCATTTTTAGGCTTATCATCAGAAAGGTGATCTGAACTTCTCCTTCCTCTCTTCAACGCCTCTCAGAGATGAGTTTGCGCGCGCTTCTTTCCTCCATTCAGAGCTTAGTCGGCTTCTTCTTCTGCTCCTTCAGTGCTGGCGGCAGAGGAGCAGCATGCTTCCGGTCCTTCTTGGAGGATGACTTCCCACGGCTTGCACTTCCACGGCTTGCACTCCGGCTTCGAGAACGACCGCCGCCTAAATAATAAAGAAAAATTTATGACGTTACAAAAGTGAGTTTTAAAAATTCACCTTTCTTTTCCTTGCGTCCTTTGGATCCACCACCAGACTTCTTACTGCGCGCTTTCCCAGCTTCAGCCTTGGATTTCGGTGCTGAAAAGGATAAGATTGTTATTTTAACTCCACAACCCCCAAATTTAACTACCTTCCGTCCCCGCACTATCGCTTGCCGAACCAGCTTCCTTCTTGCTACTGCCAGCCTCCTTCTTACGACGATGTCGACCAGAAGAACCACTCCGCTTCTTGGTTTTCGAAGCTTTCCCAGCTGTTCCAGCGTCACTCTCACTCGTTGGAACCGGCTTGCTACCGCTTCTCTTGCTCTTTGCCTTTTTCCCTTTCGGTGCTTTGGCATCACTCCGTTCTGATGTTCCTTTGCTCTGTTCTGTGTCGATAGTAGCAGCGCCCTTTCCAAACAATTTCCTCACTTCAACCGGTGAAACCAGATAGACGGGAACTGGCGTTGGAGCTCCTGGACGGCGAGCACGTAGAGCAAATGGTCCACCAGCGCTTTCGTCACTTCTGCTTCCCGAGCTGACTGCCTGACTTTCCTCACTTCCAGCCACCGAGCCCTCTTTCGCTGCGCCGCCCTGTAAATAAAAAAATTTAAAATTTGAAATAAATACTACGTATGACAAGAAACCAACCTCAGACTCCGCAGGCATTGATGCGTCTACAGGATACAGAGTGACATAGTAGATGACGGCAACCACAATGGAGAGCAGCAGCAGAACAAAGAACATGTTGACGAAATGCAGCGCCTTTGAGATGAGTTGTTGGGCCGTACGTTTGCAGGTCCGTAGAGTCGAAGATTGTTGATGTTTCCGGCAAGCTCTTAGGAGCTTTTATAGTTTTTTTGATTATTTTTAGAACCTAGCCTCTTCTTGTCATAACCCTATAAAAGCTTGCCTCGAAGTACTCCAAACAACCTCTTCAATACTAGCAACTCCAACCAACTCCAACCTTCGCGCTCTTCACTCTTCAAATGTAAGTTTCACTTATCTTTATCTATTGTCTATTTCCTCACTAATTTTTCTCAATTTTTCAGGCTGTTGACAACTCCCGACGACAGGATCGTGTTCCCGGTCAAGGAGGATTCGCCGCCGGAGCCGCTCGTGGAGCTGAAGATCGAGAACAAAGGAGACACGATCCAGCTCTACAAAGTCAAGTGCACGAAGTAAGCGCCAACCATTTTGCGTCGTTTAGGGCAGACCTAACCCTCTTTTATTTTTCAGCAATGAGCTCATCAAGATCCGGCCCCCTGTCGGCATTCTGAAACCTGGAGGCTCGGCGACGGTTAGGCTTCTTCTCCTGACCAAGGAAGACCTGCCAGAGGACGACCGCCAATGTTTGTTGCTGCACTCTTCATTTTTGCCACAATCAAGCTTTTTTTCTTTTTCAGACGTCGCGGTCTACAACCACGACACCGAAGACTCGAACACGAAGGCGCGAATGCAGTGGGACATGGTCAAGAAGGAGCAGGGCATCAAACGTCTCTACGTGCGCTTCGAACGCGAATAGGACGGAAGCGGAAGATGCGTGATGATCATGAAGTGCCACTGTGATTGCCATGTAGAAAAGATTCTCACCCTTGTGATGTATTCCCACTGTATATTGTGTCCTATATGTTGTGCAATCACTCTCTCATCCTATATGTTGTAAATGTATTTTTGTTGTGATAATCTATTGCCCAAATATTGTTGTATATATTGTTTGTTTGAAATAAAGATTTGTTTGAGTTGGGCTTTCTTTCTTTTTTGACTGAGATATAGGAATAGGGGGATGAGTATAAATAAGGAGTATCCTTTTGAAAGACTTCTTGCCCTTTGAGTGAGGCATAGGAATATGTAGGAATAATTGAAAACTCCAAATACTCATTGAAATGAAGCTTGAGTAATTTTTTTCCACAAAATTTTGTAAAGAGGATTTCCCAACCCCCTTATAAATTTTAAAGGTTATTGCCTTGAAATTTTCAGAACGAATGTGATTTAATTCGTTTCGTTATCTTACATAATTGCCTCGATATAAAAGAACAGTTAAAAGTTTAACCTTTTATTCCTAAAGTCTAACAGAAAGTGCTTTCTTGTACATATTCTTAGTTCCATATAAAAATCTCTATAATAAAGTTTATGGATACTTTATACTTGCAGTTTAATTTTTAATTCTCACTAACGGCAAAAGTTTGTAAGTTATTGCCTAGAAATTTCCAGAACGAAGTGATTTAAAAAAACTATTCCATTTAACCAACGAGAATTGAATAGTTTACGAGAAATAAAAATTCTTTTATTTTTTAAAATAATATAAATACATTTTTGATTGAGCAAAAAAATGTTAAAAATAAAATTTTGTAAAAACTGTTAACACTATGTTAAAGCAAAATTTTGAAATTTTCATTTGTGGTAGAATTACCGCTAAAATTTGTTATTCCTAAAATCAAATCAAATTTTAAAATTTTGCTTCAAATAAACAATTAAAATAATTGGGGTTAGTTTAAAATTTTATTTAATTTTCTTTTCTTCTGTTTTTCCTTTTTCAGAAATTAATAAAATTATTTTACTAGGAACATCAGCAAATATTAATGTTCCCCCAAAAACAAGTGTAGCACCTAACCAATGTGCTGGAGTAAATAAATTTCCAAACCAAAATATTGAAATTAAAAGGGATAGAAATTTGCGTAAAGTAACAACTAAAAATTAAAAAGAATAAAATTTTTTTGAATTTTTGATAAAATTTTCTAATTAAATTTAAAGCACAAAAAGTATTTTTCTTATTTTTAGCTGCTAAGTGACAAAAAAATTGAAATTTGAGGATATTCAAAGAACTTAAACCCCCCCCCCCCCCCCCCCACATGCAGCAACTTGAAATAGGCAGAGAGTGCAACTAGGGTTTCAGTGCTTGGTTGCAGGTTAAGTTGCTGTGACCCACGATTTCATTCATTTTCCCCCTCTTCAATTCGAAATTTCTAAAATTATTTTCTAAATTTTCTACCAAGTGTAACAGAAAGAGAATCAATAGAAGCATTTAATCTATAAACAAACATAATACAAAACCATTGAAGAAAGGCAACTGCCAATAATTGTAACCAAAGAGTTGATATTGGCAATAGAAAACCAAAAAATTCTGGTTTTGGACCCAAAGAAAATCTTTTTAAAAAATCGGAATTTTTTTAGAAATTTAAATTTACTTTTCTGCACTTGCTGCTATATCATTTCCCATAAATGCAAAAAATGGTAAGGAGACAGCATGCTTAAAAGAAACAAAAATAACTCAAAAATCTAAAAATATTTTTAATCTACCGTATAAAACATAGCTTCTCTTGGATGTTTTCCATAAATTCTATACATTCTTTCTTGACATATAGCTAAAAGGGAAGATATCAACAAGGCTGCAGTTAACATAAAAATTCCTATAAGCCATTCACGGTAATGTTTGTCTGCTTGTTGACGGGGCAATAAAGAATCTGCTTTCTTTAAAAGGGGGGATTAGGTAAATTGTTAAGAAATTTAAGAAAAATTCTTTAAATTCAAGTGATATATTTGAATTGGGGCATTTACTACCTTTCAACTACCGAGATTCTTAATTTAGTTAATGATATTAAAGGCATTATTAAATATACAAAAATGCCAGTGTTTCATGGAACCAAATTTTGACCGGAACCGGATCCAATTTGAGTTCCAGCTCCCGGAACAAGAACCAAAAAACACCGTAACTTTCCGGAACTTCCGGTGAAACTCTAAAAAATGCTCATCTACTCGTACTCTCTTTACGTTTTAAACAAAAAAAGCACCTTTTCAAGTCCAGCAGTAGCTAATGTACACAAACAAATACCAATAGTAATTGCAAAAACAGAAGCATATTTACTAATTGAATATTTCCTTCCAAGTAAAATCCGATTCATTAATAAAGAGGTTAATAAAGATCCAGAACGAAAAATAATGTGTAAAGGAACGGGAACATGAAAATTTAATGCTTGGTTGTTAATTACATTACAGGCAAAAAAGGCAAGAACAACTGGCAAATAACCTCTAAAAATAATTTTTTAATTTAAAGATTTTCCCTCTTTTACCTTAAAGAGATTTTGTTTTTGACTGTAAAAAATCGAGTAGTAAATATTAGACCCTCAATGCTGATAAATAACTTTTAAAAAATAATTTAAGGGTAAATTGAAATAAAAATATAGGTATTTAAAGTCAATTCTCTTAATACATATAGGTATTTCTTTATTTTCGATATATCTCGAGTCCCAATTTTTAATAACTTGATATATCTGAAATTTTCTCGTTTTTCTTGTTTCTACACTTACAGTCCCCAAAGAGAATCGACATTTAAGGGGTTAAAATATCTTTAATTATTACAAAAGTAGCAAATGTGAGCAAATTCATTGCAGAAGGAGCTTGTCTAGAAAATAAAAAAAATATTTTTGAGTTTATACTAAATTGTAAGGCTAGCAAATAGTGTTTTTATTTTTGTTTAAAAACCGAATAAATATTATTTAGACTCTGAACTTATCAACCCAGCACCTTAAAATCCTCTAAAATCCTATTCAAATCGGATAATTTCACTATATATTTAACCCACTTGGCTAATGATTCAACACAAACCATACATCCAATACACCCACTAAGTGCCCCAAAAACAGAAAATACAGCATCGGCCATTATTTACAATAAATTTAAAAATAAAATAAAAACTAAAATATTTAATGTTAAAATAATTTTCTTTTTCGTTTTATTAATGATTTTTATATTTTTGAAGAAGAAAATTAGTGAATTTTTTATGTCATTTAGTGTTTGTATTTTATATTATGTACATATTTTCTTATCAAAAATTTAAAAAGAAACAAAAAAAATTAAAAGATTGGGATGTTAAGGCGCAGAAGTATTTACCTTAACATGAAAACTTAAAGAATTTATAAAAAATCAAGTAACCTAAAGATTAATACATACTTATATGTTACATTTTCAGACTGATGTAAAAAAATATGTAATAAAATGTTAATCATAAATTAACTTTAAAGTTAAAAAGAAAAGTAACACACCTAGACTGATTAAATTCTTTTAAAAAGAAAAAATAATAAAATAGAAAATGTTCTGATAAAATCAAAATTAAATTTACACAAAATATACGCGCAAACTACAAAAAAAATTTAAAAAAAAAGAGAAGTTTATAGAAAAAAAAGTAAAAAGGGGTTTATCGTCTATTAGAAGTGTCCCAATGGAATTCTCAGCCGGCGAAAAATAAATCGATTACCGGTGCATTATTTTTGCTTTTAATGTTTTAACCCTGCCAAAAAAAAGTAATTCTCGACGTTCCTATGACAATTAACACTCTCAAAATATTTTTAAAATTTAATTTAAAAAATAAACTTAATTTGTAACTTTTTTTAATTAGCACATAAGGTATAATTTTAACTACTACTTGAAGTAGGTATATTAAAAGGCTAAAAAATTTTCTTGATGTACATAAATATGTATGTGTTATACATAGTATTTTATTTATTATTTCGTGCATACCTTGCTAAGCTAAATTTAATTTTTAGCAAAAAAATTCGTACAAAATAAATTTTATTTTTTTTCGATTGAATAAACAAATTTACTAAAAATATTTTGATCAAAAATATTATTGAGGATTTAGTTAATCCTTTTCTGTTCTATATATTTTAACTAGTCGACCTTGGATTTTACAAAATAATAATTTAAATTGTACAGAATTCAAAAAAATAAATATTTAGAGATTTTGTTTAGCAGAAATTATTTTATTTTACAATTTAACAAAAAATTATAAAAAGCGAAAAAAGAGAAAATTTTAAGAAATTTAGAATTAATGAGGGGTTAAAAATGCCCAAAATATTTGGAAAATACAAAATAAATTTGGGAGAAATACATAAATTGTATTAAATACTTAAATTTTATCTTGAAATTGAAAAATAAATTTTGGAAGCAAAAATAAAATTTCTATGACCCCAAGAATCTTTTATTGTCCCAACAATGATTTTTTGTTTAAAATACATGTTCGATCCCCGAGGAAATGTAAAATAAGGTTCCTTTACAATATTAAATAATCTGAAATTTCAAGGGGTTAGGAAAAGGAAAAAGAACTTTGTTAGCAGATTAAACAAAACCAAATACTATTAATGTTTAAAATTACAAAAAAAAATTTTTTGGAATTTATCTATTCAAAATATAAAAACAAAAAAATTTCTAAATGCAAAATGGACGGAATAGCTGGAGGAGAAAATTTAAAGAAAAAATTTAATTTGGAAGTATATTTAGCCGTGACATTTCTTTTACGGTATCCCGACGTTGGTAACCAGTAAGTTCAGTTAATTCAACATATTGTTTCATTGCAAACTGAAAAAAAGGAATTATTAAAAGTATTTGGATTTAAATAATTTTTAAATAAATTTTTAATTAATTTTCGATAAAAATTAAAAATAAACATGTAGCCAAATTTGAATTTTTATTCTGATTGCTGCTACATTATTTTAATTTTTCTGACTAATTTTTTATTCTAATTCTTGTTTATATTCCAATATATTCCCTATATAAAATTTACCTGAAAATGGCAACTTCCTTTGCTCTTCAACGTAACAACTTTTCCCTTATCCTCCATAAAAACAACCCCTCTTTTCAATCTAGGATCATTTCTTTGTACATAATGGCTTAGAATTGTAGCTATCTTTAAATTTTTACAAATATTTTTCAAAAAAAATATTTATTTAAAAAAACATTTGCTGTAAACGGCAAAACTAATTGTCCATCACGTAATCGACGAATATTAACTGTTACAACGCCAGAAAGAGATGAACTGACAGAATATGCCCCTCTATAACTCATTTCTTCAATAACAATAGATGCTTCTGTTTGGCCGCCAGCTGGGACTTGGATGTTGTTGTCCTGTTTAATTAATTTTTATTTAAGAAAATATGTATTAGAATAAATATTCTCTTTACTTTCCGTTGTCCTTTGATTTTTACTCCTTTGATTTTTACTGGAACTTTATTTCGTCTGAAAATCCCAAGAATAGACATACCGTATAATTTGTATTAATTGCCCTCCCTCAAGTAGGAGGGCAATTAATTTTTTCCCCCATTTCCATTACCACATCCAGCGATAGATTGAAACAATAATTACCCAGGGTAGTTATAAAAGGATATACGGTAAATCCAAATTCATTTAAAAAATAGGTGTTGTTTTAAAAATCTTTAGGGATGGAAGAGATTACAAAAGTGATTCTACACTAAATTTAAATTCAATTAAAAAAACTAACCACAGCCCAAGTAAGAGTTTCAGATTTAATATTTTCTGTCAATTTGTTAAAATGAACTTCATGTTTAAATCCAGTCTTTAATTCTGCAATTTCCCCTACAAAATATTTTGTATATTTTTGAAATTTATTTATTTATTAATTACCAGGTATTTTTAAAGACAATTCTGCTTCAGCCCCAAAAGTAAATCCTTGCTCTCTAGCTACCCCACAAATTGATTCTGATGTTCTTTCAGTTTTTAACGAATAAGTTTGTGTTTGGCTTGTATTGTTTGTAAATAATGATTTGACTATTTTAAAGAAATTATTTTAATAAATATATCATTGGGACATACATATAGTATTGGGACGAGTGCCAGTCAGTTGAATATTATTATAATTTGGCTGAGCATGAACAAGTATGAGCTTTTTTCTGTTCTATAAATTATAAAATATTGTTAATTTTTACTTAACTTAAAATTAAATAAGGCGGTTCCTCGTAGATTTTAAATACGATTTTTTAATGAGAGGGTGTTTGGTTAATTTTGTTTCAGAAACAAGAAAAACGTCGAAGGGGTCTACAACGGGCTTAGTGTATCCGGATATCCAGATCCGAGAAAAGTAAGGATATAATACGGAGATTTTCGAATTGGATATCAGATTCGATATTCAAAGATTCATTAGGATCCTCTGATCCTAATCTGCAACCCATCTATTTAGAGCTAAATTCAAACACACTCTTTTAGCTTTTAAAGATTTTAAATCATTCTTGTTCCTTTTATTATTTTATCGGTCCACTTTTTTCGATCCAGTCAATTAAATATTGTTTTAAAATACATACAAAGAACACTTACAATTTCAAAATCAGCATCTGCCAATTCAAGATTTTTAAACGATTCTAGCCCAGATCCTTTAATAGTCAACAAATCTTTAAATCGTTGCCAAACATATTCCTCAATTAAAGCATCAACATCTACATGTGTTTCACAAGTAGATGTTCCTCCAACAGATGGTAATGGATCTGGTGACATTGAATTATGATTTATTGTCGGGGCAGATGTTGGCGCTGTTGAGCGATTTGAAGGAGGGGAAGAAGGGTTTTTGACCGGCGATGTGGGGAAAAGTCGCTGGAAATACATATTTTTGTAAATAAATTTTTTTCTTTTTTTATTTTTATTGAGAGAGTGAGAGATGGATTTGAGCGATTGGGAAGCGGAATTGAAATAAATGAGGGAATAAATAAAAGAAGAGCTCCGAATTGGAAAGGAAGGAGGAAAGAAGAAGGCCAATCGAGGAACTCCGCCCTTTCGAACCCCCCCCCCCTCCCTCCTACTCCTCTCCATTCTTCTCATCTTTTTTCGCCAATGTGTTCCCTTTTCAGGAATTAACTAAACATAAGTTAATAATTTGAGTTCAATATTTCTACCAGCCACCATTTCCCAATGATGGAAAATGTTATGATAATAATTATGTTCTTTTCCTTTATTAACATCTCCCTTAAGTTATCGTTATTCTTTCCATCTCCTCACTTTTAAACTACCTTTATCATGTAATGTAAAATATTAGGCTTGCTCCATATTATGGGAATCTCCTCCCTTTCACCATTTTCTCCCAATTTTTTTTTAATTTTCCGATTTCAAGAATTTTAAATTTAAAATTTCAACAAGTTTTTTAACTTCAACACAAATTTTCATGTCTTCCTTTTCAAATCAAAACTTTTTTTTATTATTTTCATAAAGGAAGGACGTTGATTTTGAACAGCGGGAGAGTTTTGGTGGTGCTTAAAAGAAAAAGGAAAACATAAAAACATTTTTGGTGCTTAAAAATAAAAAGTTGCCACCGTCCCGGGAAAGAAGGATGAAAAGAATTAATTCGGAAAAAAAGATGAGAGAGAGAAGTGTCTCTTGGGGGAAGGAGGGAAGGGGAGTGCGCAAAGTTTAGGGGGGGGGGGGGGTGATTTAATACGTACCTCAAAGTCAATGTCACCAAAACATATAAATAAATATAAATTTTCCCGTCATTTTACCTATCAAATAATATCCAACAAAACACTTTAAAGAGGAGAATAGGGCACGCAAACAAAATAAAAATAAATTTTTTTTAGTTTCAATAAAAGTTAAAAAGTAAAGAGGAAAACAAAAGCTTAACACGCATTTTGTAGTTACTTTAAAGATTTAGAAAGTTTGAATAGAAATTTAAAAGGATGAGTCAGCCTAGAAGAAAATAAAATTTTATCTTTAAATTTTATTTTGAATTTTTCGGGTGCCAAAGGGTTATTTGAAATCTCCTTTGTACAAAAATAAAGAAATGAATAATTAATTAAATTATGTATTATTAAAAATATAAATGTTTTTTTCTCAAGCAAAATATTTTAAAATATAGAAAAATAATTTATTTAAAAAATACAGATTAGATAAAAGGAATTCAACAAAAACTTTTACAACAAAATGAATGAAATACTTTTAGCTAACTTTTTAAAAGTAATCGATGCGGTAAAGAATTGAATTTTGTGAAAATAAAAGATTTCTAAAATTACCTAATTTTTTTATTTTTACAATATCTCGTTATAATGCCCCATTCTTAGGTATTATTAACTATTAAGTGATATTTGTGGAAATTAATGACTTGTGAAAGCATTTGTGCTCGAGGGGAATAAATCTGAGGTCTAAAATGTTCAATCCCCTCCTTATGATTTTAACTAAAAATTTCACTTCCTACTTAAATTTCGGTATAATGGACTTCCCTATTATTATAGACCTGTTTTCCAGGGGTGGTGCAAGTGCCACAAAATACGAGACACGGGATTCACGAGATACGAGACGAGCTCCACCCCTGCTGTTTTCCCTTAAAGTTCGTTATATCGAGGTTTGATTTACTGTAATTTTTGTGTTCCCACAGTTAGAATTTATTTTTAAGTTGCCATATAAGGGTGTTTTGAATTTTGTTTGCGCATAAATATAAAAACGTGTAAAAATAAATTTTAACAATTAAAAAAAAGGGGAGGCATGCATCCATAAAATCCCCTTTTAAATGTTTTGCTCAATTGGTTTTTCTCTTCCCCCCAAATAAAGAATGATTCTCAAAAAAATTTTAAATTAATTGGATTAATTAAAATAAAAATGTTTGAAAATACAGAACAGAGGTCAGAAAAAAACTTTTTTTTTGCTTTCAAAATAATTTATGATTAAGAATGTGTTTTTACTTTTTTCTACATTTCTCTTATCATTTTTCACATAAAAATTATTTTCTCTGTAAAATGACTAAAATTATCTGTTTGCAAAACATATTGACTCATACACAAAAAAACAATTTTCTCATGTTCTAAATATAAATTTTCTGTTAAATTTTCATTTTTATACGAGGGGGATATTTAATTTTTTTAATTAAATAAATTAATAAGAGAAATTAAATTAAAAGAAATTATTTAAAAGCGGAAAATAAAGTGGCAAAATTAAATTATAAAAAAATATTTAAATGTAAAGGAATTTCAGTGCAAAATCGCAAGAACATAAAATTATAAATAAAAAATATACACAATTTCTCTCAACTATTCCCAGCCGTTGCTAGCCATTCAACCAGCTGAAATGAACTATAGTAAATTCTCACTTTCTTTCCTTCTCTCTAACTAGCTTTAAGCTTCCTTCCCGCCAAATTTCTTTACAATGTCCATCAACTACATATAGATAGGTCACAGAATTCGTGACAACTTTTGAGTCCAAAATAATTATTAATTTTTAAATCTTCAACTAATTCCACTCAAATTTTCAACTCTCAGAGACTCTAAAATTCTTTCCACTAGAAGCTACTTTTTGTATTCTACCAGCCGCCCTTTACATTTTATTTAAAGCTCAACCACCCCATACACATAGGAGAAAAGCTGCGAGAAAGCAAAACATGGCGTAGGACACCACATTTATTTATTTTTTTCGTCTCACTTGAGAATATAAAATATTCTATCAAGAAAGCGACGAATTTTAGCTCCATTAAAATTGAGAATAATACTGCTATTTTTTTATTTTTAAATTTTTGGACAGAAAAAAAACAAATTGGGAGATTTTTTTTATAAAAAAATTTTTTATTAAGTGAAGAGTATTACAACTATGATTTAATATTAATTACAAAAATGAGGGGAAAACTAAAAAATATAATTTATATGGCATTAAAGGCACACAAAAATTTAAAGCATAAAGGCAAGTAATAAAATATTATAGTAAGTCATTGCATAAAAACATTTTTAATAAGTGTATCTATCAATGTATGTTATCTGATAAAAATAACCTCTATATATTTTCGTTACTTGTAATTTATTTAACCACATTAATAGATAAACTTGTTGTACCTCGAACACTCGGGGGCGGGATGTCGGGCTATGGAACAGGGTTAGAGGCGAGTAGAAAATTTTTTTGACTAATTCTTCCTTTATCGCCGTATTGATACCGAATTTTAAATTCGGGATCAGCGTACAATTCTAATTTTAAGACAACCCTATTTATAAAAAGGTTTCGATAAACTACTTTCTCCTAGAAATCTCGGATATGCGTCTTCAACCAAATTAAATTAGATTCTTATTCAATGCCTTAATATTTTTAAAATTAAATTTTATGACTCTTCCACAAACTCGTCAACATTATTACCATTATTATCATCAGAGATCATATCTTTCTTATTACAACTCCTCTTCCTTCTCCTTCCTCGAGCAAGTCCATTTGTTCGATATTCTGTCCAAGTTTTTGCTGATTTTGCATTCCTTGCAGCAACTGGAAAGATTTCTTCAATCCCTGTTGTATCTTGCCAAACACTTCTCAATTGCATAAATAAAAGAACACCAACAGCAAAGATAACACCATAAGTTAACCCCACAGCTAGCACTGAAGCGCTGAACAATGAAATTGAAGCAATCGGCAAATCGGGGGGTTCTAAGTATTGTGGCGTGGGAGACGGTGAAATACTTGATTGGTTTGTTTTTGATAAAGAAATGACCTTTAAAAAAAGATTAAGTTGGATTAATTTTTGTTGGGGTAATAAAAGAAAAGTTTTTCGACGGAAATGTTTTTAAAATCAGACGGGCAGGATCTCCTAACATAATATTAAAAATAAAATCTCACAGTAGTAACAACTTTGTACAAACAACTAGACAAAACAATTGCTGAATGTACAGCACCAATAAATACAAAAAAGAGAAATCTAATGAAGTGAAACTGATTCCGGCCGCCAACACAATTATTAACCCAAGGGCAGTGATGGTCCATTAACTGCAAACACAAAATTTAAAAAACATAAAACCGAAAAAATACCAAAACACATCGACGACACCTTGAACAATGATGAGATCTAGGCACTTTAAAACCCATACAGCGATGACAATAACGAAGTAAATACCAATCAGCTTCGTCTTTAGGATGCCATCCCAACCGGATATATCCTCCTCCTAAATATAAAATAAATATCAATCCAAAAAAAATAATAATTTACCACAAATACTCGCAATATTTAAATGTTTAAACACAGAATAATTCCAAAATAAATATATCATAAAAAGAGCAGCGCCAATTGGAGATTTTGGATCCCACCAGGAAACATGTAAAATTGAAGTAGTTAAGCCAACATTAAATTAAACAAAAAATATTTTTAAAAAGACCAAAAAAATTACAATTGTGCAAATAGACATTGAAGAAATTGGACCCCAATGTAATAACCTCCACCGTGATAAAATTGTTTTATCTTCGGCATCATCACTCCATGGATCATCATATTTCTGTTTATTTTGAGTAAGCGCTCTTGGCAACTAAAGAAATAAATTTATTAGTTACATTAAATATCATCTAAAACTATTAAGTTGGATGGAAAATTTTGAGCATAAACATGAGGTAATATTGTAGACTATGGTTTCCAGTCTGATGTGGGAAATTCTTATATACGGAACCGAATTGCTGAACCGGGGCGAAAATCATAACAAGTAGGACCTCCCTAGGCCCAGATATTTCCCTTTGCGAGACAGACATTGACTAACGTAAGCCTCACTTTATTAGGCTAAAATATTTTTAACTTTTACATACCTGCATTAAAGCACCCTTCACCTCCTCTATAGAAGAAAAGAAAAAAGCCTTAACCTTGTACAACATAATTCTAAAAAAATAAATTTAACTTAAAAATTTCCTTTAAAAATTAAAAGAAAATAAGCGAGATGTATTCGTTTAGAATTTATAACTCAATTTAAAAAATCTATCTTTTTAATCAAAAGAAAAATCAGAAAAAAGAGAGAAAGAATAAAAATAATCATTTAAATGAGTATCACATCTTTAATCGAATGAAACAATAAATTCCCGTGAAGAAATGAAAATATAGCTTTAAGCTTATCATCAACATTTAAACTTTTGGCATTTGAAAGCAAAAATGCCGAAGGCAAAAAGGCTGTGGATTGGCGACGTAAGTCGAGACTGTTACCATTCGGATCAAATAATGTAAACCAGAAGAGGATTGCGTGGCAAACTGATGATTTGGAACAAGTAAAAATACAATGTTGCTTAACTCGAGTTAATTGATCCAGAAGGTTTCGATTCTGTGGATGAAGAAGAAATTAGTAGTAAAAAATAGTCAAAAATGGGGATCCGAATAAATATAGGAGTAGGTCCAAATTCTTAGAAAAGCATAAGAACGGGACGAATTCAAAGATAAATCAAAATCTAAAAAATACCGAGTTGCTAAAATCCATTCGAAATAATTCTACATCCTCCGAAATTTGCTCAAAATCAAAAGTCTTCGTTTCAATCTCATGAAAATATTGTACTCTGTAATCATCCATTGGAGTCAAATCAATACCACAATAAGTTTGCTTGTCTTGAAGTAATCTACTTCGTTTACAAAGCTCATTAGAGTTAATTAAACATCCATTAACGCTGAGTTGAACAGGAACTAATATTGATTTTGGATTACGAAGACGTAAGCCAATTATGGAGGTAAGATATTCGTCAAGAAAACGACCTTGATTTGAGAAGGGCCAAAAAAGAATGACACTGCCAGGTCTGCAAAATGCTGAAAAATAATAAAAATAATCATTATTTCTCAATTAAGATCACAAACCTTTTTCAATAGAAGTTGCTTTATTTCCCACATAACGAATTGCAGAATATTCAGAAGCTACAGAAAAACGCTTATCAATGAGTAGATCTGTACAGTCTAACACCGAAGAATATCGAGCTGCAGCGGTGAAATAAAAAGTTCTAACGACCGAATCATTCATTGCCATTAAATCCACCCATTGAGGTAATCGAAGAATTTGACATTCACGAATAGGTGACAGACCAGAAATTGGATGAACTCGAAGGGCGTTGTCTTTAATGAAAATTTCAAATCGAAGTACATCTCCTTGTTTTACGAGTGTTTGCGGATAAAAAGGATAGATGGCTTGCTGCCAGCAATATCCCTCATCTGGCGATGTACAAATTTCAATATCGCCAAAAAGGTTTAATCTAAAAAAAGCAAAATTAAAAAATATTTATTGAAATATTAGAACCTAAACCAAGCACAGACAGCTGAAGCTACTCCAGTTTTGTTTGCCTTTAATGTGAGTTCAGCGACAAAGTGACCTTTAAAGGAATAAAAATAATGAAAAAAACTATTTTTAAAAAACCATTCTTAATTTTCATTAATTGAGTAATATCGTTAAAGTCAACAGAAATTCCTTCGACTGGTTGCGATAAGAGTCTATAACCGTCTTTCAATTCTTCAATATATGAACAAGTATAAGGCGATGGAGGAAGAATTCGTTTAATATTTTTTGAAGCAGATCCCTCAACATTACAACAGTCAGAAATAAAAGTAATTGTATCTGAATACTCAAATACATTTTCGCGATCAATTGCTTCAGCCTCTAGAAGTGAGAAAAGAAGAGAAACCTTTAAATTTGAAGAAATTATTTATAAAAAATAATTTTAAGAAAATGCCTTATTTGGGATTAAAATTGCATCTTCTTCTAAAAGGCGTTCTTTTGCGTCAAGAATCTGAAAAAAAATTCAAATTAATATTTGAAAGTAGATAAAAAAAGAGAAAAATTTGTCGAAATTCTAAAAAAATACCGTTTCTACAATTCTTTCTCCAAAAATTGCACAATCAACAGTTTCGCTAACAAGTAAATTATAACGTTTTTTGACGGCTAATTTATTCGAATGCATTTCAAAAAGCTTGACTCGGACATCATTTTGTATAAAACAATTACGAGCAATTTTGCACATTGTTTCATCAAGATCACAAGCATGTACAGAATTATCATTCCTGAAAAAGCCAAGTTTAATTTTTCAAAAAATAGTTTTCTGGAATTTAGGTATTTAAAACAGGGTAAGGTAAACACCAAAAACAATTCCTTTAAGGAATAAACAGAGAATAAGAAAATTTCTCAGATTTTTATTAAATTGTATACCTAGCCGCAGCAATACTAAAAATTCCAGAGCCACATCCAATGTCAATTACTCTCGCATCTTGTTTTGCATTAAGTGCTCCATTAATCGCTTCAACAAATTTTGCATTTCTTTTCCCATCATTTATCATTCGCCAATGCCAGGCATCAAATAAATTCGTCTTTAAATTTTCAATACTTGTTGTGGCTTGGAGCCATTCAATATCCCCCTTAGCAAATAAAAGAGCCCTTTGAAAATTAGCCAAAGATCGAGACAATTTGCCTTAAAAATTGATTTAATCAAAAACCCCGAAAAAATTAGGGGCAAACTTTTAACATAATAATATTCTGCAATTGTACGCCAAAATCGAAATTCTGTTCCATAAATTATTGTTGCCACACGTAAAACATCATTTGTATTAGTCTCCTAAAATTATAAAAAAATAAAATTAATTAAAAAAAAATTTTTTTTTTACATTCGCTTCACGATGAAGAAATGCTTGAAGTGTAACTAAAAATTCTTCCAAATATTTTAAACGATTTTCTGTTGGGAGAGATTTAAGAACTGCAATGTAATTAAGAATAGCAAGAGAATAATGACGTTGAGAAGAATAAAGTCTAGCATTTGAAAGTGAATATCTAGTAGATTCTGTGTCGATTTGAAATGTAATAGGGCGTGGGAGAGGAAACATCTAAAAATTAAAATAAAGAAATTAAAAACAAATAAACAAGATCAACTATCAAATTCCAAATCACGAAAGGATAAAAAATTCTTAAGTGAAAGCGGTTTTTAGGATTTGAAAAACCTCCAAATTTAATAATTGGCATTCTGTATAAAAGACTTTTTGTCTCAAAAAATAGAGGAAAAATAAAACAAATAGAATTACCAGAGATAACAGAAAATGTTAGAGAGGAGAATTTCTTGGGACACGCCCAAAACGGCGCGCAGCCATAACGGCGCAAAGTCATAACTTGCTTCAAGATTTTCTAATCTTACCAAATTTAGTATCAGACGATTGCTTTCATCGAGCTAAGGAAATTCGTACCAAAATTGAGAAGGGCCAGACATTTTCCAGCAAGTTATGGCTTTGCGCCGTTATGGCCGCGCGCCGTTTTGGGCTGTACACGAATTTCTTTTGTTGTGTTTTTTTAATTTTTACTCTCAGGAAATTTAACTCCACAAAATTTTAATTTATTTTAATTATTATCATCTTAATTTTTAAATTACGTCTTTTAAACAGTTAAAAAATGATTCAGGTTTTTATTTTTAATCTTCTTTCTACTTCTATTTTAGCACATTCCATGGGACAAACTTACTTTTACTGGACGTTTTATATTTATCGAGGAAAGTGTTCGGGGGACAAGTCCAAACAGATTGTTATTTCTAATTAAATGTGTTTTTTTCATGGCTTTGGACATTACTTTATGTTTTGTTGCAACTATCGCCTCTTATCGTTTACTTGCTTGGGCATTATTTACTCCAGCTGAAAGGTTTCGATTTTATTTTTTTATAAAATTAAAAATAATTAAAGAGGATTTTATTGTGATGATGAAAGTATTAGAGAAGAATTTAAAGAAAATACAGTCCCAACACTTACACTTCTTGGTATTACATTGGCCGGTCCTTTTTTCATTATTGTCATTGCCAATTTTATAATTAAAATGAGACAGCAGAATATGGAATTGGCTGGTCTGGTTTATTTTAAATTTTTTTATATTTTTGTTAAATTTTTAGAAACATTTAATCGTTCAACTTTTGTTTACCTTGACTATCTCGCTGCTTTTTGGCTTACTACATTGTCGATTGACATAATTAAATGCTTTGTTGGAAGAACTAGACCTAACTTTATTGCAATGTGTGCGCCGCAAGAGTTTAATGATGTTTGCATTGAACATCCTGAAGGTTTGGATTTTTGAATTTAATGGTTTAATTAGGCTAGAAATGTATTAGAGATTGGTATTTTCAAAAAGTCTGGATTTAGGTTAGTAACCTGTACAGGATTCTTTATCTGGACCCAGAAAAAATCTCCAGGACGATCAAAAGATGCCTGGATCTGGACTCAGGATCCAGGAAAAATTCAGACTGGATCCAGATCGAGAACGATCTCTACAATGTATACCTTATAGGAACAGATTTTATTGTGGATCCTTTTTTATGCACTTTTAATAACTAGTTCATTTAATAGCTATTTTATTATCCTTATTATTATCCCTCACACTTTTTAAAATTCATCTCACTTAATTGCTTTACCAAAATTAATTTGATTCTTAATTTTTTAGTTTTCGTCCCAATTGCACACTGCACAACTGGTTGGAAAAAATCACGTAATTCAAAGCTCAGTTTCCCCTCTGGACACGCTGCAATTTCTGTGTTTTCTACACTTTTTCTTTTTTTCTATTTGAGAGGCTTACAGAGACGAACTTCTGATTTTATTATTAAATTATTATTTGTAATTGTCTCTTCCGTTTTTATTTCCTTTACTACTTATTGTTGTATATCACGAGTGACTGATTTTTGGCATTTTCCTACCGATGTTCTCGGTGGTGTATGTATAGGTTCGTTATTATTTCATTTACTTTTACACAAATATTACGAGATACGTCCACATTCCATTTAAATTTATTTTTTTATAACTATACCAAATATTTTATATATTAGTCAAGGGCGTATCCAGGGGGTCGGTTTGGGGGGGCCAAAATTTTTGCGTTCACTTTGGCATTCCGGACGCAAATTTTGCAGCGCCGCGGCGAAAATTTTTTGCATTTTAGAAGGCCGTAGGCCAAAAAAATTCACTTTTTCAGCGCCCCAGCCTCTCTGGATACACCCTTGATATTAGTGTAGTTCCCCTTATTTGTCTACTTATTCAATTTATAGTTCAATGTCTGAAAATTATAAGTGAACAGTCTCATTTTTAGACATCTGACCCATTGAATAGATTAAAACCATTTTATATAAGGGCAATTATACAATTATACCGGTATTTTTGTTTATATTTCTATCAATCTTCTCTAATGTTTAATGTATATTTGTTGTATTATTTATGATAAATTTTATGGGGTTTATTATTTTATTTAGTCCAAAATGCTTTCCTTTGCATAATTTTTTTTAAATTGATTAGATTTAAGTTTATTCATTAAAGTCACATAAAATGTGATTTAATTTAATGATCAACTTTAAAGCTTCACAAGCAATTTTTGTTAAAGATTTTCACAATAGAAATGTAGTGTAGTCCAAATCATAATTTAAACTATTATTTTAAACATTGCCTTTTCGATAATCTTTAAATTTACCTTTTTCCCTAAAACCATTTTCCCATTTTTATCATTCCTTTCTTTATGTTTGATTGGCATTCCCCTTTATAATATTCAAAAATCCCTTTTACCTAACCGCCATTTCCCCTTATATATTTAAATAACTGTCAATTTTATTCCAATTCATAGTCCCGCCTCATTTGTCTGTATATAAGCATTTAGCATATTCCCATGTTCACCTTTAATTAACCTATACCTGAACCTTATATTTAACTGCCCTTATTTAAATTAAGGGCAGAATATTGAGAATTGGAATAAAATTCATTTGAAAACACTTCCCCGGACACTTCAAGAAATTGCTTGTTTAGTTTAAAAATTTTTATCAGTTTTTCAAAATTATTTTTTAAATCTTTTTTAGGTGTGTAGCAAGTGTAATAATTATTTTAGAGTGAGAGAAAAGATAAAATATGAGTGCCAATGCGCAGCAGCAGCGACCACTTTGTCGCTATTTTGCCAGCAATATTTGCTTCAAGGGGGACAACTGCGAATTTTCTCATGATCGTAATGCAAAGCCGGATTTGGTTTGTCGTTATTATCTGCAGGGTGCTTGTGCATATGGGAGTAGATGCAGGTTTTTAAGAATTTCTCTTGTAAATTTTATTTGAATTTTAGGTTTGATCATGTTCGAGCAGCACAGAAAGCAGCAGTTCCCAACGTTCAAACTTGTTCACTTGAAAAGGTTTGATCTTTCATATTAATTTTTTAATTGGACATGGGTATTTAATGTATTTAACATTCATTTCTGGGTACCCTCGATTCTACTATTTATTCTATATTTTATTTTGTTCTCAATTTAGATTTCTCCCGCTTCTAAAACGCCTCCAAAGCCTTCGGCCAAATTGTCAATCAATAGCAAGCCTTTTGTGCCGGCTCCAATTCCTGCGTCGAATCCATGGAATAAAAATGCTCCTCTGAACAGTTTTCATAATGATTTGGGTTTCGAGCTTGAATTAATTAACGGGCCTGATATTGGATGCTCATCAAATGATTTGTGTTCAACCTCTGTTCAGAAAACGCAGAAAGTTGATCTTGCTAATGTGCCGCTATGTCCATATTTTGAAGTGGTTGGTAAATTATATATTTTTTAAGATTTTGTTTATGCTTTAAGATTGATTTTATCTGAAGTTGTAGTCGATAAAAAATCATTTTCAAATATTTCTATCGCAAGTTTTAGGGCTTATGTCAAGATGGCGATTTTTGCCGTTTTGTGCATGGTATTCAATGTGATATGTGTCTATTGAATATTCTCCATCCTCATAATGAAGATCAACGTAAAATTCATCGTCACAATTGTCTTGAGCAACACGAACGTGATATGGAAGCAGCTTTTGCTGATGCTCGTTCTGCGTAAACTTCACAATTTTATTTTATTTATAAATTTTTTATTTTAGTGACAAGCAATGCGGTATTTGTATGGAATTAATTGCAGAAAAAGATTTGCGTTTTGCTATTCTTCAAAATTGCAACCATTGCTTTTGTTTGGAGTGTATTCGAAAATGGAGAAAACAGCATAATAATATGGAACAAGAAGTTGAAGCAAAAACTGTCCGCGCTTGTCCAGAATGTCGAGTGCATAGCGATTATGTTATTCCGTCTAAAACTTGGATTGAAGATAAAGACGAAAAGGAGAAATTGATCAAAATCTTTCATGACAATACTAAAAAGGTTTGTGAAATTAAATTAATTTGTACTTATGTTAATAATGTGCCTCGAGTAGGTCTTAAGAAAGTACGTCCGTGAATTATTTTTCCAAATTAATATGGGATTAACCCATCTTTTTGATTTAAATTATGGTTTCATACGTGGCCTCAAAAATACCATGATTTAAGACCCTAGGGATTTTTTAACTTCCTGAGATTTTCCTGGATTTTTACAGAAGACAATAATCTCTGATTTCTATCATTTTTCAGATCCAATGCAAGTACATCAAAGGAAGCGATGTTGATAGCTGTCCATTTGGCAATAAGTGCTTTTATAAAGTTTGACTATTTAACTTGTTTCTAAATGATTTTTTCTCAATTTTTTTAGCATCAAATGCCAGATGGAACAATTGTTGAAGGAAAATCGCCGCGTACTTTGCGAAGAGAGCAGCGTGTCTTTGCTCATCATTTTGAACTTCTCGAATTTATGATAGTTTCTTTGTCTGATGATTCGGATGATGGCGGCCTTGATTTCAGCTGGTATTAAAGAACTATTTTGGTGGGTTTGGTATAAAAATATTTTTTTATTAACTTTTCTTGAATGCGCATTTTTTGTCTTTCTCTTATATATAACGAGTTTGATGCTTAACGTTTTTCTAAACTAGTGTATATCTTTTTTGTTGAAACTTTTGCCTTCATTTCTTTTTTTAGTGATGAATTTATACTTAACTTTTCCAAACATCTCATGCCTTTTTGGCTTAACTTAATATTACTTAAATGTGCTCGAAATTTCTCAAAATTTTTTTGAGATTTTTTTAGAATTTTGAAAGAATCCAGAAGTATGTTAATAGTGAGAATTTTACTGAAGCACATTTTCGAATTTTTCTTGATTATGCAATTATAAAAATATTTTATATATTTGCTGTTTTTGGCGTGACCTTTTCCCGAAGACATATTTTGTTATTGTAAGGTGATGTTAAAACGGGTTTTAATTTGAAGGGGTTCCTTTTAGTTTTTTATATTATTTTAAAAATTGAATAAATATAATGGAGTATGTATCTTCCGTTTCCTTTTCTAACAGTTTTTTTCTGGCAGGTTAAAATCCGGTGCCTTTATTATCTTTTCGATTTAGTGTACATCTTTTATATTGAAAACAATAAACAATTCTAAATAAAAATGTTTTACTTTCCATAAGGAATTTTGTTTTTTCTTGATTCTCTGTCAAACGGATCCCTCCAAGATGGCAAATGTGAATCTGCAGCTAATTGATCGCGCGAAATTGGTAAACTGTCGTAAAATTGTTTTTGCTTCTTTGCATAGAATTCGTGATTGATCTGAATTGAATTTGTTTTGAAAGTTGATTATCCAAAGATGAGCGAACTAAACCTCCCAACCCGCATTTACGTCCCAAGAATAAAGGAACCAAAATAAAATAACCTTTGGTTGAATAGCCATCATATAGAAAGCCAAAGCAATTGCTCCCACGGTTCCAAAAATCATAATTTTACCCGAAGAAATTTCCATCTTATTTTTAATATTAACAATTGCATCAGACAGTCTTGTCCAAGGAGGGATTTTAGGTCCAGCAGCCGGATACCGCATCTTTTTTAAAGATTAAAAATAAAATTTAAATTACCAAAATTAAGAAAAAAAATAATATCGGCAAATAACCAAAGAATGAAAATTAATTTTATTTAAAAGTATATTTTTTTCCACTAAAATTCTATTAAATTTGTTACAAAATTTGAGCTTTTTCGTCATTTCTTCTATCTTTTAAAATTGACCATCTTGAAGGAGGCCAAATCAGGCATGTTGCTTTCCCAACTATAAGACCACAATTTACCTTAAATTAAAAAAACAATAAAGATTTTAAAGAATTTTTTACCGGTCCATAAGCTCTGCTATCCAAAACTGTTGGACATTTCAAATTATCAGAAAGTACCCAGATATGATTCTTTGGAACAAGCACTCTCCCACCTTGCTTCGTTCTTGCTGTATCCCCTTCAAGTGCGACTATTCGCTTTATGTGGTTTTTTGATGGATCTGGGGGTGCCCTAAAAATTGAGATTTAGGTATATTGATCATTTTTAATAAACATACGTGAATACAAAAATATCACCAGTAGCTGGTTTAGGGAAAATTTTTGATATCCATACAACATCACCAGGAACTAGTGTTGGCTAAAAACAAAAATACTTTCAAATTTATTCACAATTTTAAATTTACAAACCAGCATTGAAATCCCTGAAATTGACATTGGGCAACCAATTAAATCGAAGAATGCAGTACATGTACAAAATATACCAGTAGCGTGAATTGCCCGTCGAAGAAAAATTCTAGATTTTTGCATTTATTAAAGAAATTTATTTTGCCGATTTTATACGCCTATTAAGGTAATTTTTAATAATTTTAGGTCAACTTAAAATTAGAAATACATCTTATGTTAGATTAAAAAACATTTACTTATTCCAAATATTAAAAACATAACTTTTAAAAATTTTATCAAGTAAAACATTAAAATAACATATAATGTCCCAATTCTGAATTTTAAAAAATGTAAAAACGAAAAATATTTTTTTAATAATTGGGACAATATTTAATTTCAAAAAAGAAATAATTTTTTCAAAAAAAAATCAAATAAACTTGAAAAGATACTTTTCACATAAATAAAATCTCAAAAATAATTAAATACTCTTAATCTCCAGCAACGTGATTCTTAATATCATACACAAACGGCCACGCATCATCAGTTCCAAAATTAATTCTAGCATCACAACGCTTCAAAAGAATGTGTGGCAACAGATCCTCAACATCGTTCAAAAGAATTGTCTTTCCTTAAAATAAAAATTATTATTTTAAGAATAAGAAAAAGTACAGAAAAAAACTCGGTACTCGTGAGTTATCTCAAACCAGTTTTTGCGGACATATTTATGGACTAATGGTAAAGGTTCTTCCTTCCTCGAGTTCACTCAATTTGCCCTGTTTACTATTCCGTACTTAAAGAGTCCGCATAAATATGTCCGCAAAAACTGGTTTGGGGTAACCCACAAGTACCAAAAATTTCTCAAAAAAAGGTTAAACATAAGTAAAAATTTTTACAAACCAATTTGTTTCTTGTTTAATGTGAAGAAAATTTGAGTAGGTTCATTTGGCTTATTCTTCGGAGGAATTATATGTCCACATCCAAAAACATCATTTCCAACCATTCTATCATTAAAAAAGCGTTTGCACGTCCCATCAGCAGTTCGGTAATTTCCGCTATTTCCCAAGCGAAAATAACATTGATCATTTTTATAAAGTCCAATTTCCAACTCCCATTCGAACCAATTAAAACTAAAAAAATTGTAAGAAAAATATTTTTAATTCAAAAACAAACTCAGTTTCTTTAACAGGATCTGGTAAAGCTATGACTTCAAAAAAGCGGCAAACATAAGCATCTTCTGGCACTTCATTTGGAATATCCGCTCTCATAAATTCTTTTTCGGCAAGGACCATTATTAAATTGTCACTTTCTATAAAAATTTTTAGTAAAAAATACAATTTTAAAATTGCAAACCCATATTTTTAGTAGAATGACTATATTTAATTAACGATCCGTCATAACAAATCCAAACAGCTCCATTTCCCTCCCGACAATGGCCCGTGGTTTCCTTACAATTTTGACCACAACAATTCTGATTCTCCGAAAAACGATTAAATTTATTCCAGCACTTTACATAAACCTAAAAAATAAATTTTTTGATTGAAACAAAAAAAACTAACCGTCGGCTTGGGCTTGTGAGTATTGATATTTGCAAGCATCGACTAAAAAAGTATTAATTTAAATTTAAAAAATAAATAAAAACCTCCAAAGACTTGATTTTCTCATTTAAATCGTTCTTGTAAGCAGAACAAGAAGAATTAGAACAGAGGTCAAAATCCTCTTCCATTTTTAATTTATAATTTGGCTAAGAGAATATTTAAGCTTAAAAATGTTGATTTAATGAATAACGAAAATTGTATTTTTAAAATTAAAGGATTTTGCCGTTTGGAAAATTTAATCATGTTAATTAGAGATTGGCTAAAGTGCACTTTAGTAACGTGATCTAAAAATCGGTGATTTATATGTCATTCGAAAGAGCTCGGCGAGCTGAGTCGAATGACACCAAAATTATTCCGCGGAAAAAATTCTGAGCCGAGTTACAGACTCCTAAAGTTCGAAAAACCATAGGGGGGACCAAGCTGTTTTCTGGGGGTGAAAAATTCGAATATGCAAATAATAGCTCATTCGAAAGAGCTCGTCAAGCTGAGTCGAATGACACCAAAATCAACAAAATCAGACGTGATTTGACAAAGTTATGACCATTTGTTTTTATCCCCTACATAGGGCCTACGCGGAAAAAAGTTTTTGCCGCTGCGGAGGAAGCCGGGCATGTCGAGCGGAACGACGGCCGCCGCTTCGCTACGGTCGCCGCGAGCGAAGCGAGCACGACCGCAGCGAAGCACGGCCATCGTGTAGCGAAGACCATGCCCGGCCTACCCTCCGTAGCAGCACAAAAACAGTTTTTCCAGCGAAGATTCTGTTGGTCATAACTTTGTTCATAATCATCCTATCGAGTTGATTTTGGTGTCATTCGACTCAGCTCGTTGAGCCCTTTCGAATGAGCTATTATTTGTATATTCGAATTTTTCACCCCCAAAAAAGTGCTTGGTCCCCCCTATGATTTTTTGATTTTTGGGGACCTATATCTCGGCCCCCAATTGAGTCCGCGGAATAATTTTGGTGTCGTTCGACTCAGCTCACCGAGCTCTTTCGAATGACATATAAATCATCGATTTTTAGATCACGTTACTAAAGTGCACTTAGGCCTAGAGATTAGTGATAAGATTAATAAAATTCGAACTTTCAACTTTAAAATAATTTTTGTGAAAAAAATGCCGAAAGAGAAAAACATAACAAACGACAAAACGGCTAAAAATAAAGACAAAACGCCAAACAAAAATTTCGGTCGTTTTAACTCCAATCTCAAAACAAAAATATTATTACTGTAGAATTGTGATTCTAAATAATTTCAATTGTTCTCGATACTTCACAAAGGAAATAAAGTACCAAATGCATATAAAAAACAAAATAATACAAAAAACATTTATTTCCTAAATTTAAAAAATTCAAAGAATTCTTAAGGCACAGAAATATTAAAATTAAAAGAATGAGATTAATTAAATATTGCAAGGTATTGAAAGTTTAATTGACTAGTTTAGCTAAACAGGATGTTTTTGTGGTGTTTTTTCTCCTGCTAATAAATGCCTTGACTCATTTTCTCCACTATCCATTAAATTATACATTGCCAAAGTTAAATAACTTTAAAGGGAGAAGTTTGAAATTTTTGAATTAATTTATTAAATACCTTGCTGGTAATTCCCCTATATTCAGTGAAATCTTAAGTTTAATTTTGAAAATTTTTTAGAAATTGTTTAGTAAACCTGATGAAGAATAAATACTCCATCTGGGCCTAACGTCCGGACAACTTGAAAAATGAGATGAGAAAATAAATATTACTTTGTAAAGTAGTGGAAAGGCATACAAGATTCGAGATCGAGCTGGGTCTGAACCAAGGCCTGGGTTTTTCCTATACACAGAGTCCAGGCCCAGGCATTTTTTGACCTTCCTGGGGTTTTCCTGGACTACAGTCCCAAGACCCGGCCCAGGTCAATAAATCAAATCCAGAGTCCAGGAACAGGCCCAGGCTTTTCAAATATTTCGATCTTTAGTAGCCACTGCTATTGTAGGCCCTATTATTAGACACTATTCTATTATAGGGTAGTTTATTATTTAAATCCTTTGTATATAATTACATCTTTCCAAATTAAAAGCTGCCCCAGAATGTAAAGTTAAAAATGCTTGAAGTCGAAGACGTGAGGCAGAAGGAAAGCAAAGGGCTAAATAAAAAATTTATTTTAAAGAAACTTTCAAATTCTTGCCTTTAGACCAGCTGAGAAAATTAGCCCAACTACAAAGACAGACAAATAAATACCAAAACCAAAGAAATATAAATAATTTCTCATAGTAAATATTTAATGTCAAAACACACATTACTGTTTCAACCTTAATAAAATTAAGGTTTAAATATAAATTAAGATTTTCCGGAAGTAATAAAGAAAAAAGAGTGCCGAATAGCCGAATATGAATAGCCTTTAGCTATTCATTTTATTAGAATAGCCTTTAGAATAGCTATTAGCCGAATAGCCTTTCTTATACCGGAAATACGAGAAAATTTACTTCTTTGAGCAACTACCATTCCATGGAAAGCCTCTAAAAACCCATTTCCCCTCCCGTAGATAACCTCTTCGATGGAAAGTTCCCGAACTAGTAAAGCCTCTGTGCCCACATAATTTTAAGAAAATTAAAATTTATTAGTGACCTGCACGGAAGCAGGTTTTCTCTTTGTAAAATCACAATGTGTTATTCTTGGAAAATGTCCTGTCTCCTAATAAAATAACAATTATTTTTTCAAAAATTATTATTTCATTTCTCTCACTTGCCAATCTAAACCATTAAGTAAATCAACAAGAATCGAAGGTCCTCTCCATGAATACATTGGAGATCCAACCAAAGCATTTAACCACATAAACATTATTGTTGAATTAGTAGCTTGTATTAATGTATATATTACATAATAAAGAACTAATTGGCCACGGCTTCGACGACGTGAAAGTCGAATACCATCCCAAAGGTAGGGAGCTGCTTGACGTTCGAAGGAGTCTACTCGAGCTTTAAAAATAATTTTTAATATAAATTGAAGAAAATATCATCAAAAAAGTTGTAATATATTTTTGAGGGAAATTATAGTTTTAAATAAGTTTAGGCCAAAGTGGCTAGAATGAAGCATAAGTCTTCTAAAGTTTTTCTTAGAGATGTATTAAATGTTTTTGTAGCCATAGATACACCTAATTTAATTTAATACTAAAATACATTGGAAGTTTGATGAACGAATCTGATTCCAAAGATGATCAACATATTGAACACTAGACTGCAAAATAAACAAAGATCAAATATAAAAATCAAAAATATATTTATGTTTTGTATTTTAATTATTTTTACAAGCAAAAAAGATTATCCAAGAACAGAAACATTTTTGCTTGTAAAAACATAATTAAAACAGGTAAATCGCCTTATTTTTTTCTTAATCATTTTCTTGTTTATTTTAGTAATTAATTTTTTTTCAAGTTTTTTTTATTTAATAGAAAGATTAATACTTTTTTTAAAGAAAATATTTAAAGAAGAAAAATCAAAATAAAAAACTTACAGCCAAATCATAACCAGAAAATTGTGCCATTTTGCGCCAAAGAAAGCGCGGAATGTAGAAAAATAGAGCATGTGCAGCTAGTACATATGGAACCTAAAAATATATTATTAATAAATTTATTGTATTATTTGGGTCATTAATAATGAAATTATGGGATATTTAATTTTTTATTAGGACATTAAATTATAAATTAACATCTCCATTAGAATCATCTAATCCTATATTAACCAGGGGTTGTCCAAAGGGATTTTCAGAATATCTTATACTAAGTTAAAAAAGAATTTACAAAAACTTAAGGGATTAATTAAAAATATTTTTCCCCAATTTAAAAAATAATTAGAATATACCCATTGATAATAGTCAATAAATACTCGCTGCCTAGTTTCTTTATCATAATCCAAAGGCTCAACAAGATGTGCCCAATATGTTCCTTTATAATTTTTTAAATTAAAAAAATTATTTTTAAAAATTTCTAACCATGAACAAAGCAATATTGATCTACAAATTCAGCCCAAACTTTGGGAAATTCTGCTGGTATCCAACAACTTTTTTTTTAAAAAATAAGTTTAAAATTAATAAAGATAATTTACGTTATAGGATCACCCCAAAAATGTGTAGTTAAAAGAAGACCGGCAGAAATACCCAAAATTGTAACTGTAACACGAGAATTTAGACGGCCAGCCTTCAAGGGAAAAATTAAATTGAAAAAAAGTTAAAATTTTTCTCCTTACGAAATCTCCTTTAGGCTGTGTAAATAATTTGCCTATAAGATTATTTATGCTGTTTATTGCACCTAATTGAGAACTCATCCTTCTCGTTTAATTAAAACAGTCCTTAAAAATAAAATTATTATTTCTACATAGCTCTGATTAGGTATATTTATGTGAAAAGATTGTCTCTCAAAATTTTCAATTAAAATTGGTAAGAATATTTTGATTTTTATTTATTTATCCCGAAATCTGAACCCAGAGGGGTGAAGCAAAAGAGATGTGTAATTATTGAGGGAATTGAGAAACTAAAAAACTTTTTATTAGTCGAGAGTGTAATTCAAGACATGAGATTCCAAGTCAATAAACGGAGAACTACATAGAAAAGATAGGGGAAATCAAATCGAGAAATTCGAAGTTAAACTCCTGAGCATAACTTTACCTTAGTTTTTATTTCTTTGTTGTAGTCGTTCAAAAACGGTTGACATATAATTTTATTGTTTAATTATTTCTTCCAGTAAATTTTTTGGTCCTTAGAGAGTGATCAGTAAAATGAAAGGCTACCTTCTTTTTAGTCCCCCAACTAAATACCTAACTTTTTCCAATCATTTTCTATTCAATTTTTGTGCACGTTGGCTTTTTCTTTACATTTTTGTTGTATTCTGCTGCCTTTTTGCAATCAACAGACGTCCGTAAAGTTTGCACTAGTTTCTCTTTAAGTCGAGAGTGTGTGGGGGGTTATTGGCGCTATACTTCCTCGCGCACTTCTTTTAAATCTTTCACGTAGTTTTTAGCTTCTTCTTTTTTCTTTTCAAATAATTTATAAGCTCCTCCTTTTTGTTTTTTTCAAACATTTTACCTTTTCTAATCAAGTTTTTGGGAAAGGTTTTTAATTTAATTTTCTTTTGCCATTTAAGCTTAATATGTAGGTATTATGTCTCTGAAAATCAATTAAGTTTTAATGAAAGGATTCAACTTTTGAAAAAATTAGTTGTGTTGGAAATTTGAAAAATTTTCTTAGTCTTGTCGTCCAATCGCCTGAGTCACCTCAACACCACATTTTTTATGAACGAGTTGGACTAAGGAGGAATTATTCACTTCTAGGGAAAGATACTTTCGAGGAGCGAAAGTAAGTTTTTAATTAAACTAAAATTAGAAAAACAATAGCACAAGATCTATTTATTTATCGGTAGCCTCCTCTCTAATGAAATTCACTGTCAAATTTTCTTCCCAATTAAATTTAATGAAAATAAACCAAAATTAACTTATTATTTTTTCACAAAATTATGTTAAAATTAAATAAAAACACTTAAAAGTACATTTTAATTAAATCTCTCAATTAATTCAACTAAAAGTAAAATTTCGTAGAAAGTACTTGTTAATGAATTATCAAAAAAAACAAAAAGTTTTCAATTATTTACTCAAAATTTTCAACAAAAATTTTTTTCAATTCACACAAATAAATTAAAGTACTTTTAAAATAAAGGAGAGACTTGGATAAAAAATAAAATTCTTTTATGTATTATTTATTTACTTTTTTTATTTTTATAAAAAAAATTAAGTTTTAGATTTTTTTAATGTTTGTAAACTTTATCTTCAAGCTTTTACACAATAGATGATGTTTTATAAAAAAGAGAAAAGAATTCTGATTTTAAAAGTAAATTAATTTAAAAACTAGAATAAAAGCTTTTCCAGTATTTACTTAATTAAAAAATAGTTTTATATTTCTTTTATTATTTCTTTTATTATTATTTTTTTTTTTATAAAAAAGATAGAGAAATATGATCTAAAAATATAGGGTAAAGAAGATTTCTAGCTTAATAGTTATAATTGCAATTACAATTTCAAAAGTAGAATATAATTTAAAAATTAATGAAATTTTTTAATCAGTTTGGTGTTAATTGGCGCAATTTTAAAGGATGTAAAAACAAAAGAAAAAATAGAATACATTTATTTTACCTTATCTTTAATATTCTAGAGTTTTAAAAATTATTTTAAAAATTGTTTAAAAGTGAAGTATTTTTATCAAGAAAAAAATACAAATAAAAAAAATACATAAAATTAACGAAAAATCCACAATTTCAACACCAAAATTTCAATAAAATTCTTTCGAAACAAAATGTTTTGAAATATCAAAAATAAAAGGATTTGCCTCCAAATTACTACCAAAATTTGTTTCTACAGAATAACATCTTAAAACAACATATGGATGATAATAATCAGAATTATCCTTTAACAACAAAGCTTTCCCTTTAAATATTACATTTAAAAATATATTTAAATTTTATCATTACCAATTTGTTTTCCATCTTGTGTGAAAAAAATATAAGGAAGTTCATTAACTATAGTTGGAGGGTAAACTAATCCACATCCAAAAACGTCATTATTATAACAGAAAAATGTTGGAAGTTTAAATTCTTCATCTTTTTCATTTTCAATTACACACTCCTTTGCAACAAATTTAAAACACTTAGTATTATTAGCAACACCAATAACCATCCAACAATTATCCAATTCTCTTTCCATTTTACATTTAATTTCAAAATAAAATAACGAATAATTGAAACAATTTTGTGGTCTTTCAAATGAATTTTCAGCACGAACGCGAACATCAATATCTCTACCTAAAAATATTTACAAAGAATATTTCCGAACTTTAAAATAACCTTTCCCTTTCACACAATTAATATATTTAATATATTCATCATTAATTAAATTAATAAATCCATTTCCTTTAATACAATTGCCATTTGGTTTGTCTGTATTTATACAATTATTTTCGCAACATTTAGTTATTTCATCAATATATTTCCATTTATATTTAATTTCAACAAATTTCTTTAAAGAAAATTATTTTTATATTTAATTAAACTAACCACTACTTTACGAGTAACATTATTTAATTGTTCAAATTTAATTGTCAAATCAGCAATCTTTTTTTCATTTAAATTATTTAACTTTATTAATTTTATAATTTATTTAATTTAGAAAAATAAAATTCTTCACCTCTTTCATTTCTTTTAATTCATTTTCTCTTCTCTCTCTTCTCCCTCTCTTCATTAAATTTCATTTGAAGCTCGTTAAAATTAGTTTGAAGTTTTATTAGGTCATTGCTTTGGTTTACTAACTTAAATTATTTAAATTTAATTTAAACTTTCATTTTCAAAAATTACTTTTAATTCCAAATCAGAATTTGTCAATCCTTCCTCAGTCATTTTTTAGAATTTAATTAAAATATTTAAAAAGAAAATAAGAATTTTATTTAACTGTAAAATAATTCTTTTAAAGAAACTAAAATTTATGTAAATTTTATAGAAAATCTTTTTTAACTTTATTTTTAATTTAAAAATGAATGTAAGTGGAGGAAAAACCTTTTGAAAATTAATATTTATATATTGAAGGATTTTTGACTCAGAAAAAGTTTTTATTGGAAAAAGGGAAAGAATTTATGAGAAGTTTTGTTGAGGGGAATAAATATTTTAAATAACAACAGTCTGAACACCCCAACAAACTATTCCTTCATAAAGAATACTATCACATTTATTGAAAAATTTTAACTCATTTCTTAAAATTGAAATTCATAAAAATGGAGCCGAAAAAAATGACTCGAATGTCGGCCCGTTCAAAACCCCAACCCTAAATGAGAACCTTGAAAAACAGAAAAAATTAGGGGAAGTTATTATTTCTAAACACAATGTAAAAAGAAAAATACAGAGAGGAAAAAATGTGTCAAAACTTAGTATTACTTAAAATCTCAATTAAATTTCTTAAAGAATTAAATATTTTGAAATTTCATAGAGGGGGAAATGATTGTAAAAGTAAGAAATTTAATCCACTTATTATTACAATTTTTAAGACCAAGAACCATTCGTTTATTTAATTCTTTCGAGGCTTTACATTTAATTTCAAAATAAAATAACGAATAATCAACAACAAAATTATTATCTAAACGGGGAACAAGGTTGTTCCCCGTCCCCGAAAGTCTGGGAATTTTTTATTTAAATCTTTGGATTCGAATCTTGGATCTAGGTATAAATTGTATTTAAATTGCATATTTGCGTGCATATTCTGGTATTTTTTCATCCATATTTTTCATTTTATAATGCAAAAATCCCATCCCTAGTAATCATTTAAATCAAAGCAAAGAATAACAAATATTTATTTTACTTATCCTTAATATCTCAGAGTTTTAAAATTTATTCAAAAAAATTGTTTAAAAATAAAAGAAAAAGAGTAAAAATTAAATAAAATTAATGAAGAATCCCCAACTTCTAAACAAAACTTTCAATAAAATTCTCTAAATTCTAGCTGATGGTATTTAACGTCATAAATGAAAGGATTTTTCTCCAAATTATTTCCAAAGTTTGCTTCTACAGAACAATTTTGTAATACAACATATGGATAATAATAATCAGACTTTTTCTTTAATAATAATGCTTTGCCTTTAAAAATATTTTTTAGATAATTTCTTTTCAATTTAATTTTTACCAATTCGTTTTCCATTTTGGGTAAAGAAAATATAAGAACATCTAGTTTTTTTGTCAGTTGGAGGATAAACTAATCCACACCCAAAAACATCGTTATCATTCCAAGAAAATGTTGGAAGTTTAAAATTTAAATTGTCTTTCATAAACGTTCCATTTTTTGAAAGGAATTTAAAAGATTTATTTTGACAATCTTTAAGACCAATAACCAACCAACAATTATTTAATTCTCTTTCCATTTTACATTTAATTTCAAAATAAAATAACGAAAAATTGATACAATTTTGTGGTCTTTTAAATGATTCTTCAGCCTGAACAACGACTTGAATATCATTATCTAAAATGTTACAAAAATTAATCCTAAAAATGTAAAACTCAATTTCGCCCTCCCTTTTCCTTCATCAAAATATTAAAAAATGGTCAGTCAGACATAGATTATAGAACTCGTCGAGCTGAGTCGAATGACACCAAAATCAACGTGATTAGACTTTCGCCCTTATGGTTGTTCAATTTTCAGGGGTCTGTATCTCGGTCAAATCAAGTCCGATTTTTTTGATTTTGGTGAAATTCGTCTCAGCTCGATGAGTTCTATAACCTAGGTCTGACTGACCATTTTTTAATACTTTGATGAAGGAAAAAGGAGGGGGGAACGAAATTGAATTTTACCCCTGAAAATTTTAATTCAACCTTTGCCTTCCACACAATTAATATATTTTATATTTCCATCATTAATTAAATTAACATATCCATTTCCTTCAATACAGTTCCCAATTGGGTTGTCTGTATTTATACAATTATTTTCACAACATTTATATTTTTCGAGAATATATTTCCATTTATTTTTAATTCCAACAAAACTCTTAAAAAATTATTTTTAAAATAATTTTTGTATTTAACTAACCACTACTTTACAAGTTAAAAAATTTACTCGTTCTAATTTAATTGATAAATCCTCAATCTTCTTTTCAAATAAATTATTAGCCTCTTTAATTTGATTTTCCAAAGAATTTATTTTTTCATCTTTTTGATTATTAAATTTATTTAAAGAAATTTCATTTTCAGTTTCCGATTGCAAAACAATTTTTTGTTTAGAATTTTGTTTCAACACTTCAATTTCATTTTTATGCTCAGACTCGAGTTTTTGAATTTTCTAAATTAAATTATTAGAGTTTAGAAAAATAAAAATATTTCCATACCTCTTTCATTTCTTTCAATTCATTTTCAAGAATTTTCTTTTCGAAATTAAAATTCTTTTCCTTCTCTTCAATAAATTTTGTTTGAAGGTCGATAAAATTATTTTGATGTTTTATCAAATAATTTTGGATTAACTTAAATTATTTAAATTTATTTTTTAATATTTCAAAAATTACTATTAATTCCAAAACAGAAGTTGGCACTTCCTCAGTCATTTTTTGGAATTAAATTAAAATCTCTTAAAATAAACAAGAATTTTATTTAAATGATTAAGTACTAAAATAATAAAATTAGATAAATTAAAATAGCCAAATTTACAAAAAAAATATTAAAAAATTAATTTCTTTTTTAAAAACCCAAGTTATAGAAAACCTTTCTGGACAAAGGTAGTAACTGAAAAAAATATTCAAAAAATACTACTTATATTTTGAATGATTTTTGATTCAGGGGCAGTTTTACTAAATAATACTAATGTTGGAAGATGGGGAAGAATTTATGTATGGGAATATTTGTTGAGGGAATACATACATATGTATGTTGTGCATGGCACAGCTAGTATACGGTCTTCCACAATTCTAAGAATTTCCGCATATGGCAACGAAAAATTAAAAAGCATTAGCATTAAAAAGCATTTATTTTATCTTATCTTTAATATTTTGGAGTTTTAAAAATTATTCAAAAAATTGTTTAAAAGTGAAATATTTTTATCAAAAAATAATTTGAATAAAATTCATAGATCGTAAAAAAAGTTTGGTAACTTAAAAGTTACAAAAAGTCGAAATGAATAAGAATTAAATCATAAAATTATCGAAAAATTACAATTTCAACACAAAAAATTCAATAAAATTCTTTTGAAACAAAATGTTTCGAAATATCATAAATAAAAGGATTTGTCTCCAAATTATTTCCAAAGTTTGTTTCTACAGAACAACATCTTAATACAACATATGGCTCGTTATAATCAGAATTATTTAACAATAAAGCTTTCCCTTAAAAAATTAAATTAAAAATATATTCATTTAAATTTAATCATTACCAATTTGTTTACCATTTTGGGTAAAGAAAACATACGGAAATTCTTCGGTTATTTTATTAGTTGGAGGATAAATTAATCCACACCCAAAAACATCATTATCATTCCAAGAAAATGTTGGAAGTTTAAATTCTTCACACTTTCCTATTTCAGTATTTCCATTTTTAATTAAACCAGTTTTTGCAACAAATCTAGCCCAATTATTATTTTTCACAACAGCATCAACATCCTCATTATTATTACTATGATTACCAAGACCAATAACCATCCAATTTAAACAATTATTTAATTTTCTTTCCACTTTACATTTAATTTCAAAATAAAATAAAGAATAATTGAAACAATTTCGTGGCCTTTTGAATGAATTTTCAGCAGTAATAGAAGAGCAAATATCTTCACCTAAAAATTTATGAAAATAATTTTAAAATTCTAAAAATCAACCTTTCCCCTCCACACAATTATAGTATCTAATATATTCATCACTAATTAAATTAACAAATCCATTCCCCTCAATACAATAACCAATTTGTTAAAAATTAAAACATAATTTATCATAAGAATAAAATAACAAATTTATATATTGCCAAAAAATATTAATTCAGCAATATTATTTACCTGTTCAATTTTATTTTTATGTTCAGACTCGAGTTTTCGATTTTTCTAAAAAATTTGTAGAGAAAAATTTTATTTAATTTTTAAACCTCTTTTATTTCTTTTAATTCATTTTCAAGAAGAATATTTTTATCTTCAATTATTTTATTATTATTTTCATTCATTTCCTTCTCTTCCAAAAACTTATCTTCAATTTCACTAATTTTTTCATTAATTAATTGTTGAAAATTTTGTTTTAATTCTTTAATTTTGTTATCATTATCAGAATTTATTTTTTCAGTTTTCTATAAAATATAAAAAATATTTAATTAAATATATTGAACAACAAAATACTCAACCTCCTTTAATTCATTTTCAAGATTTAAAGTCTTTTCTTTCTCTTCATTAAATTTTAATTGAAGTTCGTTAAAATTAGTTTGAAGTTTTATTACGTCATTGCTTTGGTTTACTAACTTAAATTATTTAAATTTTTTTAATTTTTAAAAATCATTTTCAAAAAATACTTTTAATTCCAAATCAGAATTTGTCAATCTTTCATCAGCCATTTTTCAGAATTTAATTAAAATATTTTAAAAGAAATAAGAATTTTATTTAAATAACTATAAAATGATTTATTTAAAAAAACTAAAATTTATGTAAATTTTATAGAAAATTTTTCTAAATTTTATTTTTAATTTAAAAATGAATGTAAATGAAGGAAAAACTTTTTAAAATTAATATTTATATATTGAAGGATTTTTGATTCAGAAAAAGTTTTTAAAAGGAAAAAGGGAAAGAATTTATGAGAATTTTTGTTGAGGGGAATAAATATTTTAGATAACAACAGTCTGAACAATAAACTTTTCCCCATAGAGAGAATACTATATTATTTTTAAATATATCAAGCAAAATACCGTTTTAGTTTTCTCAAATAAAAATAAAATTTCAACTGAATTTTTTGAAAAATAAATTTTAGTCAATTAAAGGTTTGTTCTGAGTTGTTTTAAAAATTCAAAATCTGTAAACTTTTATCCAATTTCCATTTGTTTATCCTTTTCATTTAATTTTAATAATTCTTTAGTTTATTTCTCTTATATTCTTTTTGTTAATAATTTAATGATAAAATAATTATTTTTATTTAAAAATTAAAAATTAAATTTTTATTTTCTAAAAATAAGCTACAAAATATAAATAAATATTAAAAGTGTGCTAGTTCTACAATGTTTTTAGGAATATTTTTATATTTCAAATAATAAAAACAAATGACTTACTTAGTAAAAATTGTAAAAAATAAATTGCAATATTTTAAGGAAATATTAAGTTTTCCTACTTAATATATAAATAATGGTCAGATTTTTCTTCCTCGTTCAATTTCAGTCTTTTAACCTGTGGCATATTCAAATGAGAAAACAGACAAAGCAAAGTGCCCTTATATTTTATTTGTATAACTAAAAAGCTGTTTTTAAAAATTAATGAGGATTAAAAAAAAGAAAAATTATCACTATAATCAAGACACTTTGTCTTCAAATCAAATATAAATAGACTGTGATTCAAGTTTAATCAGCTTGGTGTTTAATTGGCGCAATGTCATGGATGTAAAAACAAACTAAAGAATAACAGATTTATTTTACCTTATCTTCAATATCTTGGAGTTTTAAAAATAATTCAAAAAATTGTTTAAAAATGAAATATTTTTATCAAGAGAAAAATACAAATGGAAAAAAAACATAAAGTTAACGATAAAAGTCCACAACTTTGAAACAAAAATTTCAATAAAATTCTTTCAAAACAAAATGTTTCGAAATATCATATATGAAAGGCTTTGTCTCCAAATTATTTCCAAAGTTTGTTTCCACAGAACAACATCTTAATACAACATATGGCTGGTAACAATCAAAATTGTCTTTTGATAATAAAGCTTTCCCTTTAAAATTAAATTTAAAAATATAATTTTTTTCAATTCAATTGTTACCAATCTGTTTCCCATTTTGTGTAAAGAAAATATAAGGAAATGCTTCAGTTATTTTATTAGTTGGAGGGTAAACTAATCCACACCCAAAAACATCATTATCATTCCAAGAGAATGTGGAAAGTTTAAATCCTTCATTTTTTTCGTTCATAATTGCACACTTCTTTGAATTAAATTTGTAAATCTTTGTATTATTAACAACACCAATAACCATCCAATTTAAACAATTATTTAATTCTCTTTCCATTTTACATTTAATTTCAACATAAAATAACGAATAATTTAAACAATTTTCAGGTTTTTTGAATGAATTTTCAGCAACAACACCAGATTCAACATTTCTACCTAAAATATTTACAAAAATTAATTCTAAAATTTTAAATTAACCTTTCCCTTCCAAACAATTAATATAAGTATTTTATATTTCCATCACCAATTAGATTAATAAATCCATTTCCTTCAATACAATTACCAATTGGGTTGTCCGTATTTATACAATTATTTTCACAACTTTCAATATATTTTCCAGCAATAATTTTCCATCTATTTTTAATTTCGACAAAATTCTTAAAGTATTTTTTAAACCAATTTTTAAATTAAACTAACCACAACTTTACAAGTAACATTGTTTAATTGTTCAAATTTAATTGCTAAATCAGCAAACTTATTTTCAAATAAATTATTTATCTTTTTGAAATTTAAAGTATATTTTGAATTAAATTCAGCAATATTATTTACCTGTTCAATTTCGTTTTTATAACCAGACTCGAGTTTTCGATTTTTCTAAAAAATTTATAGAAAAAAATTTATTTAATTTTTCAAACCTCTTTCATTTCTTTTAATTCATTTTCAAGATTTAAAGTCTTTTCCTTCTCTTCATTAAATTTCAATTGAAGTTCGTTAAAATTTGTTTGGAGCTTTATTAGTTCATTACTTTGGTTTAACTTAAATTATTTAAATTTGTTTAAATTTCATTCAATATTTCAAAAATTACTTTTAATTCCAAATCAGAATTTGTCAATCCTTCCTCAGCCATTTTTCAGAATTTAATTAAAATATTTTAAAAGAAACAAGAATTTTATTTAACTGATTAACTGAAAAATAATTCTTTTAAAGAAAACTAAAATTTGTGTAAATTTTATATAAAATCTTTCTAAATTTTATTTTAAATTTAAAAAGGAATGTAAATGAAGGAAAAACTTTTTAAAATTAATATTTATATATTGAAGGATTTTTGACTCAGAAAAATTTTTTATTGGAAAAAGGGAAAGAATTTATGAGAATTTTTGTTGAGGGGAATAAATAGTTTAGATAACAACAGTCTGAAATTTTCCCTATTTTTTAAATATATCAAGCAAAATACCGTTCCAGTTTTCTCAAATAAAAATAAAATTTCAACGAAATTTTTTGAAAAAATAAATTTTAGGCAATTAAATGCTACAAGATACAACAAGCTACAAGAAGCTACAAGATAGCATAAGTCTTATATTCTAGAAAAATTATTTCAGTAGGATATTAAGTCTTAAAATTACAAGGCAGAGAAAATCACATAAATGCCCCATAAAATTAGCTCCGGAAGATTAAAGTCCTGTATATTACTATTGAATTCTTCCTGAGATATATGAGAATTACTATCTTGTAGCAAATTTTATGGGCTTTCAAATGAGCCCAAAATGAAAATTTAAAACAACCCATAAGGGGTCGAAAATATTTTTTAAAGAGCCCTACCCCCTATTTACGTTGATTTTCGAGGTATCTGGATCTCGACACTCAACTGAGATATGGGTCTAATTCTTTTTTATTTTTTCTTAGAATCGATAAATATGTTAGCACAAATTTTTGTAGATTTTTCCTGATGTTAGAAACCCGAAATTTCAAAGTGGCGCTATACTTTTGTGGAACCTAAAACTTGAAATTTGCCTATAACTCTCGAAAAAATTCATTTGAAAACAAAATTTTTTTAAAAACCTGATTTTAGACGACTATTTATTATTACAAAAAAGTCTAAAAATAAAAACCCCGGTTACATATTGAAAAAGAGACAAATAGGGGTGGCGCTATACTTTTGTGGAGCAGTGTATTTGTTGAGGGCTAGTATACGGTCTTCCACAATTCTAATAATTTTCGCATATGACACGGAAAAATTAAAAATATGTGGTTATCGGAGGATTTACATGGATTAAAGTGTAGTTGAAGGGATTTACGGGGTAATTAAAGGGAATATCGAGAAATTTTCGCGTGAGGAATTTATATCAAAGGATGTAAAGACATTATCTGAAAACAAAGGAAAGGATACCATAGATTTATTTTACTTTGTCTTTAATATCTTCGAGTTTTAAAAATCATTGAAAAATTGTTTAAAAGTGAAATATTTTTATCAAGAAAATAATTTGAATAAAATTCATAAATCGAAAATAACTATTTTAAAAGTTAAAAAAAGTCAAAATGAGTAAGAATTAAATCATAAAAGTATCGAAAACTCCACAACTTTAAAACAAAAATTTAATAAAATTCTTTCAAAACAAAATGTTTCGAAATATCATAAATAAAAGGATTTGTCTCCAAATTATTTCCAAAATTTGTTTCCACAGAGCAACATCTTAATACAATATATGGTTTGTAATAATCGGAATTGTCTTTTGACAATAAAGATTTGCCTAAAAATTAAAGTTAAAAATATATTTAATCTTTATTCTTGCCAATTTGTTTTCCATTTTGTGTGAAAAAAATATAAGGAAATTCCTCGGTTATTTTATTAGTTGGGGGATAAACTAATCCACACCCAAAAACATCATTATCATTCCAAGAAAATGTTGAAAGTTTAAATTCTTCATTTTTTTCATTTTTAAATAAAGCAATCTTTGCAATAAATCTAAAACGCTTAGTTTTATTAACAACACCAATAACCATCCAATTTAAATAATAATTTAATTCTCTCTCCATTTTACATTTAACTTCAAAATAAAATAAAGAATAATTGATACACTTTTGTGGTCTTTTAAATGAATCTTCAGCATGAACAATAGCTTCAACATCTCTACCTAAAATATTTACAAAAATTAATTCAAAAATTCTAAAAACTAACCTTTCCCTTCAACACAATTAATATATTTTATATTTCCATCACTAATTAAATTAACAAATCCATTTCCCTCAATACAATTACCAGCTGGTTTGTCTGTATTTATACAATTATTTTCACAACATTTAGTTAGTATATCAGAAATCAATTTCCACTTATTTTTAATTTCAACAAATTTCTTAAAATATCTCTTTTAAAAAACGTTTCTATATTAAACTAACCACTTCTTTACAAGTAACATTATTTAATTGTTTCAAATTAACTGCTAAATCAGCAATCTTTTTTTCAAATAAATTATTTATCTTTTAAAAATTTAAAATATAAATTATTATTTTTAGAAATTAAATAACAAATTTAATATTTTAAAGAAAAATACAAATTCAGATATATTTTTACTTACCTGTTTAATTTCAATTTTATGATCAGACTCAACTTTTTGATTTTTCTAAAATATTAAATTACACATATTTAAATTTAGAAAAAATAAAATTTTTAAACCTCTTTTATTTCTTTTAATTCATTTTCAAGAAAAGTAATTTTCTTTTCAAGATCTAAAGTCTTTTCCTTTTCTTCATTAAATTTTATTTGAAGTTCGTTAAAATTAGTTTGAAGTTTTATTAGGTCATTACTTTGGTTTACTAACTTAAATTATTTAAATTTGTTTAATTTTTAAAAATCATTTTCAAAAATTACTTTTAATTCCAAATCAGAATTTGTCAACCCTTCCTCAGCCATTTTTTAGAATTTAATTAAAATATTTTAAAAGAAAACAAGAATTTTCTTTAACTGATTAACTCTAAAATAATTTTTTTAAAGAAAACTAAAATTTATTTAAATATTATATAAAATCTTTCTAAACTTTATTTTTAATTTAAAAATGAATGTAAATGACGGAAAAACTTTTGAAAATTAATATTTATATATTGAAGGATTTTTGACTCAGAAAAAGTTTTTATTGGAAAAGGGAAAGAATTTATGAGAATTTTTGTTGAGGGGAATAAATATTTTAGATAACAACAGTCTGAACAATAAACTTTTCCCCATAGAGAGAATACTACATATTTTAAATCAAGCGGAATACCAATCCAGTTTTCTCAAATAAAAATAAAATTTTAACTGAATTTTTTGAAAAAATAAATTTTAGTCAACTAAAGGATTGTTTTGAGTTGTTTTAAAAATTCAAAATCTGTTAACTTTTATCCAATTTCCATTTGTTTATCCTTTTCATTTAATTCTAATAATTTTTTGTTTATTTTTCTTATATACTTTTTGTTAATAATTTTATGATAAAATAAATATTTTGATTTTAAAAGGGCCCTAAATTTTATTTGTATAACTAAAAAACAGTTTTTAAAAATTAATGAGGATTAAAAAAAAAGTAAAATTATCAGTATAATCAAGAAATTCTGTCTTCAGATCAAATAAATAGACAGTAATTCAAGCTTAATCGGCTTGGTGTTTTATTCGAAAAATGTCAAAGGATGTAAAAACAAAAGAAAGGATAACATAGATTTATCTTGTCTTTTTGATATATTGGAGTTTAAAAAATTATTCAAAAAAATGATTAAATGTGAAGTATTTTTATCAAGAAAAAAATCGTAAAATTAACGAAAAAATTCACAATTTCAACACCAAAATTTCAATAAAATTCTTTCGAAACAAAATGTTTCGAAATATTATAAATAAAAGGATTTGTCTCCAAATTACTTCCAAAGTTAGCTTCTACAGAACAACATTTCAATACAACATATGGAATGCAATAATCAGAATTGTCTTTTGCTAATAAAGATTTGCCTTAAAAATTAAATATAAATACAAATCTAAGTTTATTCCTACCAATTTGTTTTCCATTTTGGGTAAAGAAAATATAAGGAAATTCTTCGGTATTAGTTGGAGGATAAACTAATCCACACCCAAAAACATCATTATCATTCCAAGAAAATGATGACAAGTTAAATTCTTCATCGTTTTCATGTATAATTACACCCTTCTTTGCAACAAATCTAAACCACTTAGTATTATTAGCAACACCAATAACCATCCAACAATTATTTAATTCTCTCTCCATTTTACATTTAATCTCAAAATAAAATAAAGAATAATTGATACAATTTTGAGGTTTTTTGATTGAATCTTCAGCATAAACAATAGCTTGAAAATCATTCCCTAAAGTTTTATAAAATTAATTCCAAAAATTTTAAAGCAACCTTTCCCTTCCAAACAATTAATATATTTAATATTCATGTCATTAATTAAATTAACAAATCCATTCCCCTCAATACAATTACCAATTGGTTTATTTATATTTATACATTTATTTTCACAACATTTATAGCTTTTATCAATATTCTTCCATTTATTTTTAATTTCAACAAAATTCTCAAAAAAATATTTATTTTTATAAATATTTAATTAAACTAACCACTATTTTACAAGTAACATTATTTAATTGTTCCAATTTAAGATAAGACTCGAGTTTTTGATTTTTCTAAAATTATAAGCATATACATATTTATTAAAGATTGTATGTATTTGGCCTAAGTTCATTTTATGGGTCTGATCCCGATTTGGATATTTATATGTCATTCGAAAGAGCTCATCGGGCAGAGTCGAAAGACACCAAAATTAGCCTGTGAGCCGAGATATAGAGATATATAGATATAGAGATATAGGCTCAAATGGTCAAATTTATTAGGGGGTGCTCGCTTCGCTCGCGGCGATCGTATCGAAGCGGCGGTCGCGTTCCGCTCGACATGCCCGGCTTTCTCCGCAACGGCAAAAAGTTTTTTCCGCGGAGGCCTTGTGTGTTTCGTTGATTTTGGTGTCATTCGACTCAGCTCGACGAGCTCTTTTTATTGAGATGCAAATCGTGATCAGACCCATAAAATGAACTTGAGCCTTGTATTTAATTTCCAAACCTCTTTCATTTCTTTTAATTCATTTTCAAGAATTTTCTTTTCAAAATTAAAATTCTTTTCCTTTTCTTCAAGAAATTTTGTTTGAATATCGTTAAAATTAGTTTGAAGTTTTATTAAATGATTGCTTTGGTTTAACTTAAATTATTTAAATTTATTTTTTAATATTTCAGAAAATTACTATTAATTCCAAAACAGAGGTTGGCACTTCTTCGGTCATTTTTGTGGATTTTAATTTAAATATTTTGAAGTAAACAAGAATTTTTTAGATGAATTAAAATAGTCAATTTTACAAAAAAATATTAAAAAATTAATTTCTTTTTTAAAAAACCCACGTTATAGAAAACCTTTTAAACTGAAAAAAATATTCAAAAAATATTACTTATATTTTAATGTATTTTTGATTCAGGGGCAGTTTTATTAAATAATACTTATGTTGGAGGATGGGCAAGGAATTTATGTATGGGAATATTTGTTGAGGGAATATGTACATATGTATGTTGTGCATGGCACAGCTAGTATACGGTCTTCCAAATTCTAAAATTTCTGCATACATATGGCACCGAAAAATTAAAAATCATGTGGTTATCGGAGGATTTACATGGGTTAAAATGGATTTGAGGGATATGTGGGGTAATTAAAGGAGGGATTACAGGTAATATCGAGGATTTTACGCGTGAGGAATTTACACTCTTGCGCTATCCCTGAGTGGAATATCGAGGATTTGTTGGCTCCCAGTTGCCGATTAACATTTTGCGGTAATTTTGAATTTCGTACCCCCCCCTCTCTTTTTCCTTTCTCAAGGTGTTAAAATGGTCAGTCTTTAGCAGAATGAAATGCACAACGAGCTGTATCGACATAGGGTTGGATGGTGGCGCAGTCGGTCGTGCTTCGGTTTGGCCCCATTCCGCTAATTCTCTCATGGTCTTGCTTGTTTCCTCTTGGAACATGGCTTCCCTTAAACCTATCAAATCTTTCGCTATCTCATTCAGATCCTCTTAACTCGACGTCATGAATTAAAATTTCATCAATGGTATCACTAAGAATAAAATTAAGGTTCAAAATCATGATAATACATAAATAGATATGTTTAACCTCATCTTTAACATCTTGAGTTTTAAAAATTTTCCAAAAACCTTTAAAAATTAACAAAAAAATTTTATCAAGAAAAAAATAATTCATAAAATTATCGAAAAATCCTCAACTTTAAAACAAAAATTTCAATAAAATTCTTTCGAAACAAAATATTTTGAAATATCATAAATAAAAGGAATTTTCTCCAAATTATTTCCAAAGTTTGCTTCTACAGAACAACATTCTAATATAACATATGGCTCGTAATAAGACGAATTATCTTTTAAGAATAAGGCTTTACCTTAAAAAATTAAAGTTAAAAATATTATTTATTTAAATTTTATCTTTACCCATCAGTGTTCCATTTTGGGTGAAGAAAATGTAAGGAAATTCTTCGGTATTAGTTGGAGGGTAAATTAATCCACACCCAAATACGTCATTATCATTCCAAGAAAATTTTGAAACTTTAAATTCTTCATTTTTTTCATTTACAATTACACCATTTTTTGGAAGAAATTTATAAAAATTATTAGTATTACCAACACCAATAACCATCCAAGTTAAATAATTACTTAATTCTCTTTCAATTTTACATTTAATTTCAAAATAGAATAAGGAATAAGTAGAACAATTTAGTGGTCTTTCAAATGAATTTTCAGCACGAACAATAACATCGATATCCTTACCTAAAAATATTTACAAAAATAATTCCTAACTTTAAATCAACCTTTCCCCTCCACACAATTAATATATTTAATATATTCATCATTAATTAAATTAATAAATCCATTCCCTTTAATACAATTACCAATAGGGTTGCTTTGATTTATACAATTATCGTCACAACATTTAATATATTTTCCAGCAATAGTTTTCCATTTATTTTTAATTTTAACAAATTTCTCAATAAAAAATTATTAATTTTTTATATTAAAATAGACTAACCACAATTTTACAAGTAACATTATTTAATTGCTCAAATTTAATTGTTAAATCAGCAATCTTTTCTTCAAATACATTATTTACCTTTTTAATTAGATATTATTATTAAATAAATATATTTACTAACAAATTTTAATATTATATCATTTTCATTCTTTACTTGCATAACTTTCTCCTCAACAATGTTTTTGAAAATTTGTTTTGAACTCTCAATTTCATTTTTATGATCAGATTCGAGTTTTTGAATTTTCTAAAATTTTAGAGAACTAAAAATATTTTATTTAATCTTCCAAACCTCTTTTATTTCTTTTAATTCATTTTCAAGGAAAGTAATTTTCTTTTCAAAATTAAAAGTCTTTTCCTTTTCTTCATTAAATTTAATTTGAAGTACGTTAAAATTAGTTTGAAGTTTTATTAGGTCATTGCTTTGGTTTACTAACTTAAAATATTTAAATTTTTTTAAATTTCATTCAATATTTCAAAAATTACTTTTAATTCCAAATCAGAATTTGTCAACCCTTCTTCGGTCATTTTTCAGAATCTAATTAAAATATCTTAAAAAAGCAAAGTTTTAGCACATAAAAAGCGTCTTGCGTTTTTCGACAAAAAATAGCATTCAAAAGGAGGAAAGATTAAATCGCGTATCTTCATTCCCATGCTATTTTTTGCCGCAAAACGCAAGACGCTTTTTATGTAAACGCACCATAATAAATTAAAAAGAAAATTTATTTAAAAATTCATAAAAATTATTTGAAATATTTAAATAAATATTTTTAATAAACGTCGCGCAAAGAAAAATATTTT